AAGGACCCGCATGGTGTGGTGGTGAACGCGTTACTCCCCGGAAAGGATAATAGCGCGTTCGTTCCCCACCATAGACACCTGCGGTCCAGAGTTTTGCAAATATCTCAGCAACGTTGTGGTTGTACTGAGGAGCAATAATTGACTCAAAGGGAGATCTATGTCCTCTCTCACCAGTTTCACTTCTGCATGTCCAGAGTTCGTCTCCTCTCATAGTCGAAGAAAAGCTAAAAACTTGCGACCAAGAGCAGGATGCAAAAATCTACCAGAACTCCACTATCGCTTCATAAGTTGCGGCTGAGCTCCTTAGGAAACCTGGCTGAATCTCTGTCAGTGGGACATCTTTCAAAACCTTCGCACTGTTCACAAGGACGATGTAGGTACTATGAGTACATACCTTACCATGATAAAGACCAGTGTTAACTCTTTATTTGCTGCCTGTCATTATTTCTTGCTTCGGGGTATGATGTGGAATATTATACAACTATGGTGTTGAGCTATTTGCGAAACTTCGACCTCAAGTCAGATCGAACCCGCCATTATCCTTTCTGGGAGTTCCCGTTTTATCCACTGTACAAATGAGGCCTTTGCTTTGCCTTTCTCTCAGCCAGTTTTCTATCTAACCTAATAAAGATTAATATCGAAGACACTGACTTCACTCCTTTACTTCTTCTAGTTACTTTATTCTAGCGGTGCTCATCTCCATTGGATTGAACTCGAAACGAATACAAAGATCCAGATCACCAAGACGAACCACTCTGAACTCGGATCATAGCGGCTCTGAAGAATAAAAAGGCGACGAAGTGTTAGCCAAATGAAACATTTATAACAAGCTCGCGTTAGTTTAAAACCTAAGAGAAAACTTTAACTAGTTTTTACTGTTCATGCCCACTTTTCTAAATACTTTATGTAGATAGACAATCAAGAACATGTAGTACAAATGCTTTGAACTACATAATCATAGAAACAAACATACGATGGATAACAGAACAATCCGGTTTGATGGTGAGGAATCCTAGAAGTTAAATTTAGGGCACCTAGGAAAAAACACTGAAGAAGAAAAATCTGATGTCAGAAAACAAGAAAGTAAACAAATAACGGGCAATAACTAGTTCAGTATCTTGGTGGTGGAAAACCAATATACGTCTCTATCTATAAATACCTAGTAAATTAGGTATTACTGAGGCACAATGCTTACTGGTGGTCCAGGAAGACATCGAGTCACCGTCTGTAACATTTTACATACATCTATGGTAGCATGTTAAAAACCGAAAAATCAGACTCACGTTCACAAGAGACTCAAGTTTCTCTTCTGTTTTCATTCGTTCCTCGCTCTCTTCCACAATTAATTGGACCTAAGACGATAAAAATAAACGTAGGAATGAAAAATACCCCCTAATGCTATTACATGAAGCTAATAAAAGAGCCACCTCGGCTGTCGTAGAAGGGCGAAGGTTTATTAACTGCAGGGTTTCCGCAGCTGTTAGCTGAAATCATAACGTATTAGTTGTGGCCGGTATGTACACTTGCAGAGTATGTACTGCTCATCTTGATATAAAACTCTACACATTAGCGGTTATAACGCACAAGACAAGGCTCTTCACCAGCATTTCACTTGCTCCTCCCAATGGTTTACCGCCCCATTGTGGCAGGAAGGTGTTCCTGGGAGTCGGGTTGCGATGTACAACAGGGGGATTCATCTCTTCAGTAGGGATTTCAAAGCTGAGGAGCTTGGCGTCTCCAATAGGAAACCTAGGTAAGAGTAAACCACTAATCGCATGGTAGCAAACCTCCCTCTGATGCATAAGGGCGGCGACTCCCTGTGGTGTGACCTCCCTGACCTGGGGCAGACTATCCAGGGTGACCTCGGGACTCCAAGGAAACACAATGGCAAAATCAGCAAAACTCCGAAAAACAGAGAATAAGCGGGCCCCGCACAACCAGTGAGGAAGGGTCGTCCAAGTATCCAGTATTTCACCTGCTAATGAAATAAGTTTGTGCGCACCAGACATGCATCGTCTCACCTTGTACGGACTAACTTCCTCAATGAGTTTTTCGATAGACTCAGTGTTCTGAACTGCAGCTGGAGTAGTTTTAAGATATTTTGTGGTCTGCAATGACACACATGATAAACTATGCAGAGCACTAACATGGCAACTTCTCGAAACTAAACGTAATCGACTTACCTCGTAAATTAATGTCCATAAATGCTTACTCTTGTCACTCTTAGACTTCTCGTCTTCTTCTTTCTTAATCGTATTCAAAACTTGTAAGACTTCGAAATTAGTGAGAAGAGTAACTTGACCATTCAGCACTTCCATCCCGAAAGATAAACAGTTTCTATGAGCCAAAAAACAGAGCTTTCAGGAAGCATATAAAATTGCTTCTTGCATGGAATCCTACAAAACAGGGTCAAATCAACTAATATTAGAAGTATGATAAAGGACATAAATACGGTTCACCTCGAAATTAGTACCAAACACAAGACTTTACAGATGATTTATCAGCATGAATATGATGAAACATATGTGCACACTAAAACATTGAAAGATGTATCAGTTTGAAATAAATTCGTGATACACACTCGCTTTGAAATTTATAAGAAATACTACTAGGTTGCAACGAAAATAATGGCCAATTTTATTCTTACGAAGACTTCAAGTAAACCTCGTAATAATCACTTCTTAGTCCTTAGTTCATTAAATCACTTCTTTTAAGCACGGAAATAGAATGTATCATGTACTAACTTTTCTATACTTAATTTACATGGAAGGGAATGGGTAACGCACTGCTACTGATCTCTCTCCTTACGCAGGCGACCCAACCCACACAGGAGCTGGTTAGGCTTTGCTCCACCTACTCCAAGCCGTTCACCCCTTTGTGATCTTGAAATTGGTATCAGACTTGTTTGCGGTAAACCCACTTCTTCTAATCCAAGTGGGAACACCCTAACACGGCTACTTCTAGATTCAAAGAAGAATCAACTCGAACAGCATTTAATAGCATTGGTGATGAAGACGAAGAATTCCTCAAGCAGAAGCCAAAGTTACGTGTAAAAATGCTTGGAGACCTTCCTGAATGATGGATGCGAGCAGACGAGTAGAATGCGAGAAGTGCTGAGATCCCCATAGTGTTATACATGTGATGCTGTGTCATGAAACAAAAACAATGTAATAGTAATGATAATAATAATAGGGAACAATTTACCCCCTAGGAAAAGCCTAGAATAATGGTGTGGTACTCACCGAGCATCTATAGCGAAGAGAATCCACTGGGCTACTCTTACACCCGACAGCGAAGAATAGTAGATGTACTGGCACCTGCTCGGTTCACTTGACGATCAACGGAACGACAAGCGATGCAGGTAAATTTACCCCATTTTAGGTTGTTCAAAAGGGGTGCTTTCAAAACGAGAACACCGTACAGCTTTGCTTGGTGCGTTCAAACGTAGACCTACAGCAACACAACGAACGCGAACTTGTAATGTCATTAGATATGGGTAAGAAAAACTCCGCATAGTGTGTCTCCGGTTCAAAAAGTCACCTATGTTGACGAGGAGAGCCATGATCGCGCCTTAGCCAGTGACGACAACCACCTAAACGCAATCATAGATGTTGCCTTCCAAAAACTACACGACAATATGCAGATGAAGCGATGACCAAGAAACAATTGTGACCAACAACAACAAGGTAAACAAGCCTGAGGTGTCAAATAAATAACCCAGTGCAAGGAGATCATCGCTATGAAGTCTTCGCCAGTGAACCATGTAAGACAACCACCAACACGCCGAGTACTGGTGGACTGAGGTGAAGCTTCTAAACATTTCTCGAAGTGGAACTCGTATGACAATATCATGATAAGTTTTCGGGTCTACATACAGAATCATCTACTACAACTTCTTAAACCTCGTGAAACCATCATTACAGCGATAACTCGGATGCCTGCGAGCAGTACATTTCGATAGATTGTTTTGTGCAACGACGTCTAACTTTACGTTAGAAAACTTACAATGGAGAAACTGAACGAGTTGAACCACGAAACCCTGTTTCGACCATAATACTAATCAGACCTATCCCCAATCAACTACCCCTTTTTTCACTGACATCAACAATGAACACTCCCTAGAAAATATCCTAAACAAGCGAGCACCGAAAGTACCTTCACCACCTCCAGAATTTCAGAACACTGTGACGAAAGTAGTCAAACTGTAGCAGTAGCAAAGATATGGAGATTGCAATCGTTCATATATGGACGAATAAAGTTGTGTTTATAAACAGAGTTATAAGCATTCTCACAAACGACTTTCTATTAACCTCGGCAGTGTTTGACTGGGTAGATTGCGATCAAGTTGATCTTTCAGAGCTCTGGGGAAGGCTAAATTCGCCGAAACATCAGTTTGTAAAACGTTGTGCGTAAATAGAGAAATAATACCTGATCAATGCTAAACAAGAATATAAAGAATTGAGTTTTAAGACTTTAAAGTAGTTCAAAAACGGTCATTATTTCTGTTACAACTTAATATCACATCTGAAATAGGTATCACTTTCGCAAATATAAGATCAATGCCATCCAATACTTTAACAAGTTGATCATCAAGAAAGGTAAAGGGATACATCGAAAAGGATAATTATATAAACATATATAATGAAGAAATAAATCTAGCTGAGATGATGAGCATTCGAATACGTATAATTACAAATTCTACTTCAAGAAAACTACTGGTTTAATCATAATTTGTTAGTATATGAAAAATACCCAAAAACTGTTACACGAAACCTCCTACTACAAGATTGAAAAATTCACTTAACATGCTTTTAACGCCGTTCTTCATCGGTAACTTAAACGAATCAATAACAGCTTTCGCGTTTCAAATGAGAGAAAAAAGAGAACTAAAAGTCTGTTTCAGAACACAGCTGCCCTGAAAATCACAAATAATCTTGTACACTACATAGAACCTAACCTCCCACAACTTTCCAGTTACTTCTCATAATCTTTCCCTCCTTGAACAGATGAACTGGTAAATTCACGAAGGCAAGGAAAAAACTTATTCTCATTCTGAAAATTTTAAACTGAAATTAGTCACAATGATACTGATGGTAGCGTTGGGTAGAAAACCAGCTGAGAGACGCAAAGCAAGGGTCTCAGTGGTGCAGTGTGCTGCAATACGCGAGCCCCCGGAAAGGGTTATCGGAGTTCGATCTAACTTAGGGTCCAAGTTTTGCGAATATCTCAGCATCGTTGTGGTTGTATTCCACATCATACCCAGCCGCGAAAAATTGTCGTGGGCAGAAAACAAAAGGTTAACATACTGAAACTAGTGCTTTGGGCTAAGCAATGGAGATTATACATCAATCGTTTCAATAAGATGCTTACACCAGGTAAAACATTCCAGAACATTTTCCGAAGATCGGCGCAAATCCATGGAAACGTCACATTTACCAAAAAAAAAGAGAAAAGATGAAACAGATGAAATATACCTACAATTTTTGACGGCAGGGTATTATGCAAAATACAACCACAATGATGCTGAGATACGTATATAGTATGCAGCAACTTATTTACTTGATAATGGAACGGCCCATCATCACTAGTTGTGTGGGCCCCAGCATGATCACCGTTTTTCGTAGTTTTGCTGGTTGAGCCACTGTGGTTCCCTGGAATCCCGAGGACAGCCTGGACAATCTGCCCCAGGTCTTCACCACCACAGGCAATCGCAGCCCTTGTGGATCAGAGGGAGATTTGCCACCCACCATACGACTTTGATACCAAGACGGTGGTGGATCCTAGTATTGGTTTACCCTTAGCTAAGCTTCCTGATGGAAACGCCGGAATCCTTCACAGTTTGGGAAACTCTGCCAAGAGGATGAATCCCTGCTGTACATCGCAGTCCGACACCCAGGAACACATCCCAACCACGATAAAGCGGTAAACCGTTGGGAGGAGTAGGCAGTAAACGAAACGTTGTGATTTCGACTACAGCACCAACCTAAGTGAGTTCAATGCCGGTTTGGACTCCCCAGATCAATTCATAGGTGATTGCTTATGGCACCGGTAGATAGAAAACTAGCCGAGAGAAAGACTAAACGAAGGACCCGTATCGTGTGCTGATCAATGTGTTAGTCCACGGAAAGGGCAAGAGCCTGTTCGATCCCCACTGCATACACCTGCGGTCCGGAGTTTTGCAAATATTTCAGCACCACTGTGGTTATGCTTAAAATGCATAAATAAATAGCGATCAGATCTATTACGCTGAACAAATAAAAGCTTGCTGACATTGCTATGACTGGAACAGATTAACGGATCTGAAGACGATAGAACTTAAACCCAGCAGTGGTTTCGATCACTTACGAAATTTCGCTAAACCTTCACAACCATCTTTCCAATATTTTTTCCTGCCATCATATCAACAAAGGCTTGTGGTGCAGAAGAAAGACCTTTGTACACGGTTTCCTTGACCTAGAAAACCTTGGTACAAATTAAATATGTAACTGTAAACTAAACACAGAATGGATACTTTTAATTTCTTCTCTTGCAACCAATGAGACAACTGCGCAACAGCGGCATCCATCTCATCTTTATAGGTAAGAACAAGGAAACGTTCCCTAAATTAAAAAAGGATAAGGAAATACAAGTACACTCTTAAGGAAAAGTCAATTACTTTCTGGACTGCTCACTACCTATGAATCCCCTTGGAACAGATTATTTCAGCAGTCTTCGGTGGGATTGGTGGCGGATACGGCAAGTCAGTGTTGTAAACGGAAATTTGGCCGCACAAAACAATACGACCTCCATTATTCATCTGAACATCGAGGTAGCAATAGTTATAGGGGTCCAAACAAGGAGAAATTTTTCCAAACACTAACATTCTGTATCACAGCATCGCTGACAAATCCGCCCACATTATCAAAGTAAATGTCAACGCCGTCTGGAGCCAAAACTGAAAGAGCATCAGATATCGATTCCTCACGATAATTGATTGCACCGTCGAACATCAGTTCAGATGTCTGAATTTCGGAAAAAAAAAACATGAACAGAATGAGTCAGAAAATGGAAGATCCTAAAGTAACGTAGTCATTTCTCCTGACTGTAGGATCCACAGTAACTAAAGTTGTAAAACTCACCAAAAATTTACACTTATCTTCGGTTCCACAAATTCCAATCACACGAGTGCATCCTTCAAGTCGAGCTATCTACAACGTAAATCCTATTTAAGTCCATGAGGGGAAAGCAGAAAGACACTTATACGGTTGTAAATAGCATTAAATATGGAAATTACCTGTCCAGCTAGTGTTCCACAACTGCCTGCAGCACCTGATATCACAATGGTCTGCGGTCGAGACTTGTCAATCGCAGCCTGAAACTGAGAATTTGCGAAATCATGGGTACGTCCACACACCATCAACCTGGACATTCAGTTTGAATTCAGAATAACCTTTTTCCTAATTCCAAGTAAAGCAGTCATTCCAGATAGTCCAACACCCGAAAGTACAATTGAGGGAGAGTAGCCAGCCGGAAGGTTTACCTGAAATTTCATTTACTGCGAAAAAAAAAAACCAGAACGAATAATGGCACTTTAAAAGCTGACATAGCAAACAAATATCAAACTATGAAGAATGAAATAGAAAGCACAAGAAACTTCTAGAAGTGTTTCATGCACTCAACCTTCACAAGATCGGTACAGTCGGCAATGAATTTCTTCGTCCACGGCCACAAATGAGCGCATGACGTCACAAGATCGCCTTTAGTAAGCAGACTGTCCGCCCCGCTTACCTAAAAATATTTCGCAGAAAGAAATCGCATACATAACAGGAAATGTTGTAACAAACAGATAGTAAGAAAAACCTCAACGACACCGACACCTTCAAGCCCATCGACTAATTCTCCTGGCTCATACGGAGATAGATAGTCCACACCGGTAGTAGAATTCATACGGCACCTCTAAACAGAAGTCCACACAATGTCACACTATCATGAAACTACGAGGGAAGTTCTCATTCCAGGTAAAACATTACAGCATCAGTAATGAAAAGCAGGAACACAAATGACATCTGATTTTGTACAGCGCAGCTTTTGAGCTATTCTGTACATTCGTAACGGCAATGTTACTGGTGAAACATACTCAATCATTTACCCCAACATGCTTCCTGTAAAGAACACACTTGATGGGCAAAATAAGCCATCCAGTGGAACTCGGAACGAATCCTGTTGTCTAGTATGAAATAGTTATGAAATTATAAATAGCAGAAATATTCGTAGGAGATGAAATAAGAGTGGAAAGAAAGAAATATCAAGAATGTAAAGCAGCTCTAAATTACGGAAAAATTCCTCATTCGAAAAGTATTCAAGCAAACTTTTCCACTCGCTGGCTCCGATCATCATCCATGCTGGCGGCCAGATCCATGTGAACGGACCACTCTGGTTTTTTAAGAGCTACCAGTAATTCGAGAATCTTAGACCTCCACAGATCAAGGCAAGAAGCCTTGCTCTGTAGTTCCAACGGTATAGTAAACTTTATAAAATATCTCTCCATTCTTGAAAAAATGTTCATGGAAGATCATCCTTAACATGAGTTTTCAAAAATTTCAACGCAAGCAGGCCAATCGCAGACACCAACGATAAATTAGAGGAAACCATCGCGTCCTCTACAAAGTCCCAACTATTCAACCGCATTAGAGTTCGATGTGCCAGAGCCAACGAAAGAAAGCAACAAAAAATGTCCTGTGAGCCCTAAGAAATCAAGATTGTGCTGCTCTGGAAGAGAAGAGTCCTGTCAGCAAAAAACCGTAGATTATAATAAGTTTCTTCTCATCTAATAAAGTTCTCTACGAACATAAATATAGTCTATTAAAGATGATTTCGAAAATGAAGATGGTCGCTATTCTCGCCGCTTATTCAATGGGATCACTAACTACACATAGCCCACTATATGTTAACAAATGATTTCCAAGTTCTACGTTCTTCCAGTTGATTGACGTGAGTCACGACCAACAAAAGCGTTCGCTCCACTTTGTTTCACGTCGCCCCAGACAACAACTGCATCTTCTAAGGAACCCCGTCTGCAGTTATTCTCGTCCACCTGTCGTCAACTCGTCATAGCACATGAGCGACAATAATTACTTTACTTTAAAATGTACTCTTAAAATCGGGAAAATAAGAACTTTCCTGCAATTCCGAAGTTCGCATCCAGAGTTGATACTGTAAAAACCTTCGGCGTGGTTAACGCACCAAACCATATCTCGGAAACTGCAGAGCTCTCGGATGACCACAGAATCAAAAGATTGAGTGCGAAGTTGAAATCCTATCAAACAAGCGGTGATTTTTTCGGGAGTTCTGAAGATGACCCATGCTGTTCTCCTTTTTCTACACAAACTATTCTTCATGTGATTTTGAACTACTCAGATTACGCGAGGCCATTATGAAGTTTTAGTAGTCCCGATATCTCCATCTTCTTCAGAGCCGGCCGCATTTTCCAGGAGCACAGTACAGGCAGAAATGAGAGAGTTCATTGAGACAGTTAAAAGTACAGAACTGAGGGTGAGGTAGTAGAGATATTAATTCATGAGAATCCTATAGTTCAATGGAAAAAAAAAGACGACAATGGAATTGGGATAATGTAAACCAGACACTAGAAACATGGTTTAATGGTTTGATTTCTTCTAAAGTTCCCTAGAATGTACCTGCATCTCCTAGAAGGTTTGTAAAAAGACATGTAAAGTCAGACTTTTCAACGCCTTGGCCCGTCTCAAAAAAAAAAATCCTATGAAATGCGACACTGACAGTACCTACGAGAAAGTCAATGGTCTTTGGAAATAAGAAAATCCACGGAGCCTCTCTAGAAAGCTTTAAAAAAGTAAATGAGATCATCAATTCAAGAACTGAAATCAAGTGATTCACCTGTGCTGGATCAACAGAGAGGTATAAAGTGCGCACGAGGCACTGTCCAGTAGCCACATCAGACTCAGTTGGATTATGACAGCTTTCACAATGAAAACAATCCACTGATGGTTCTGCGTTTTCCCCTTGAAAAAAGCACAGCGGTTTTGAATTAGTTGATAACATACGTTGAAAGACACAAAAGATTTCTCACCTGGCCGTTTCACGAACACTATGCGTACATTTCCAGCACCACTAGAACATCCCTCCATAGTAGACCCTGCTAAAATTCTGAAATAAAACTTATACGCATAGACCAAATGTAGAAATTCAGTACATACTTCGTCTACTTTCACGCAAACTCGGCGAATTTAATGGGATGACTATTATTGAAGTGTATTCTTCTGTATTCTATCACTTCACTAGAAGAAGCGGTGCGTTGCGAGGTTACCGGCAGAGGTAATGCTGAACCGAAATGGGTCACCTATTTAATCCGCTAGGATATAGAAGTGGAACACCTGATTCCACGAAGTCACCTTGGATTATACCTCCTGATACACTTGGTCACCGCTCAAGTATGCGCACTACATAATTCTAGTGCTTTCTATACTTCAAAACCATCCCTGTTACGGCCTTAATTTCACACCCATTGGCAGTTACAGCCTTAACAAGACCACAGACACATGAGTCTCCTTAACCACGAGCTCGAAACACCCCTTACGCCACAAGGTACTTTACACCAAAAAATAATCACAAAGAAAGAACGAAACCACAACCTACAAGTGCCTTGTGTTTCATTTGCACCTCCTGCAAATCATAACAGAGTAGACAGCATTACATTACAGGTGGACGTTTGGGTTGAAAGGAGGCACAGTTTATGTACATCGGATAAGTGAACTCGATGAAGGAGCAGCACTTTTGCATCGGAGAACACAATAAAAACGAAATCACATTCTAATTTATCAAACATGGAACGTCCGTTTTCGCTATTCGATCGCATAATCTCCTCAAGAAATCATTACCGTAGAAAGTATGGATGACAAAGAGTTCTAGACATAAGCAAAAGAATGCTGAACGAGAACGACGGGTAGCCCGAACCACCACCTCTATAAAAACATAGCACAGCCATCGAACAAGACAGAGTGCACCAACAGGGTCTTCAATCATTTATACCACAGGTAGAAAGATCTAGTTGACCTCGCTGGCTTAAACAACACTAAGAGTTACACAGTTTTCGCTCGAAAGCTCCCATGTTTTCCGCATTCCACGGGAAGACAGCCACTGGCAGGCTAATGAACTCCGACTCCACGGAGCCCTCAGTGTGCTCTAAACCAATGTTTCGAACAGAAATGACACAATTCCTATCAAGTTAAGCAGACCTACTATAGAATGAACAACAAGTACTACGTGTAAATGGTAATCACGATTTAAAAGACGGATCCATGCAACAAACACACACGTCGCGCGCTTAATTCCACGCCTGATTTCGTGTAGTTTACGGACGAAGCACATTGTGTCCGTCATTTAGCCACATTGCTGCCTCCCCATAATGAGTGGGGCTGGGTTTTTAATTGTGACCATAGATTCCTAGATATTTCAAAACTTACTTTTCTTTAACCTCGGCATGACCGATGAATATGTATCCTTTTTTGATAAACTTACACGAGGTTGAAAATCAATCTTTGTTGGGCTGACGTTTTGTTGTTTTCGTCTTCATCAGAGCCGATGATCCGAGTCGATGGTCCACAGTTGTTCGTCTTCTTAGTGTGGCATCTTGGTCTTCGTATCGAGTCGATCTTCCTCAGTGGACCATCTCTCGATTGAGGCAATCTCACTCGGCGATACTCTTCATACAGGGCGTTAGCCGTTGATAGTGATTGTCCGCTGATGACTTGTTTTTTCCGAGCAGTCCAACCTCCAGAAGTCGGTGTCATTATCAGCCAGCACAGAGCTTAGCAATATTTCAAAACCAACTTTCCTTTAACCTTGGTGTAACTAATCAATATGCATTCTTCTGTTTATAAATAAAGCTGAATAAAGCTGTTTTCCAACCTCATGTAAGTTTATCAGTGAAAGATTCCTGGATAATCTGAGCACCTTAGAGGTTGGGAGAACGATTGAGCGATAGGAGGTACTCTGCTCTGCTGCTCTAGTGATATACACACATTTATCTTATTTACCGCGTGGCACTATGGTTCGTCATTCAAGTGGGGCAACTTATGCTGAGCTTATCTCGATAGCGTTAACTTTTTATTTACTGCCTTTTGCACTTTTTCACGGCAGGGTATTATTTGTGATACAAGCACAGTGTTGCTGAGATATCTGCAAAACTCCGGACTGCAAGTGTCTGCGGTGGGGAGCAAATGCACTATTACCCTTTCTGATGGCTAACGCGTTCACCACCACACCATGCGTGTTCTGCGGTTCGGAATTTTGAAAATATCTCAGCACCATTGTGGTCCCATCTTGGTAGATTTCATATCTTTTCATTCAACATCATAATCTTGATTCGTCATAGCGATTGGGAGTGAAACAACGGTCAAACTGCTGGCAAAAAATTGGGCTTTATATGTCTCACAATTTGGACGGTGCTTTTTTTTTGCGTTACTTCCGACACGTTTTCCATAAATAAAGGAGTTGATCGGTTGAGAACTTAACAACCTTGTAGAAAAGACTTTGATCCGTCGCTATATTAGTATTATATTTGTTTCTATCTAACACTACCGTCCAGAAGTTAGTCCTGTTGAATTAATTTTACTGGTCTTTTACAAGAGCTAAATTTTATATCTATGACCTCATATCAGCAGACTAAGAATTCAACACCGGACGAGTGCTCTGAAGTGAGCCAGGGGATGGGAAAGAACAAGACAACATGGAACTTTTTCTGGCTCTCGTGAAAGATCTGAAGCGAATGGAAGATGAGTTCGCAGTGATGATGGTCTTGATGAAGTCAGCTGCGAGTTCTCCAAGAATGTAGTCTCACAGAAGCACTTATTTTCAATGGAATTCAATCTGAACTGGATGAGCTATGTTGTCTTCGATGCCCAACGGTTTTTCTGAGTGACTGAGCTCCGACACCTGGGAGCTTGTTATGAATGAGTCCAGAGTTGAGCAGAAGGAAACGAGCGACTTAGGGAGCTTTCAAGAGGATTGAGGATGTAGTGAATAGAACAAAGAACACCTGATTGCATACCCACCTTTTCGATTCAACGGTACTTCCTGCCCGTATGCGTCAGAAACCTGGTCGCAGCGTAAGCAGGATGAAAGATCACTAAGCGTTATTGAACGCGTAGTCGCGATGACGATGCTAGGAGTATCCCCTGTCACACAAGTGAGCGAAGGTCCGACTGGAACCCGCTCGAATCACTCGGTGATCAGCGGGACTACATATGATACAGGTGATTGTGAACGACACCGGCAGATATGGATTAGATTACTAGAGTTCAAGAGGATATGGTTTGGGAATAGACAATTAGTAGTGAGTTGAAAATATCCATTGGTCTCTTCCGAAAGATAGGAATTACCAGTCTTCTACGGCAATGCGATTACTGGAGTCCCATTCTGCTCTTGAATACCATTACTACTTCATATGTCATGGAAAACGGCAAATTTGAAAGCCTGTTGGCTGAGTTCTACATTGCTAACTACGCAATGTATGACTGAGCGAGAGGTTCAATACAGGTGGATCACTAAATCGAACTCATCTATGGCAGCTGTGATTGAACATGAACCTGGGAAATATTCCGCCACCACTGAATCTTTGGTGAAGTCTGGACGTTGAGTTCCTTTGCTATAAAATATGCTTCCTAGCATACACGCACAGAAACCGATGGTATAGAAACTGTTAAGCACAATCAGCTACACCCACAATTTCTAGCGTGTTCCTGTGCTAACTGCTCCATAGCCCAGCACGCGGCTCTGTCTCTAGCGATAATGCTTATTTACAATTTGCTGGATTAGAAAGGTGCTTCTACAGTGACAACTCGTATATAAGTGTGGTCATGGTTGACAACTTGTGAGAGGTCGTTGATCAGATCCTGCACTCCGGACTCTCCAAGCATTTCATCCTTCGGGGATCTGTAAATTGGTGTCAGAGCTGTCTGGGAGGATAGCAGCACTGATTTGTTCCATCAGTAGCTCATCGCAAGTCAATTTATGGGTAGATGCATACAATCATCTCTATGATGCTACGGATTGTCGAATACATGACACATCCTTAAGGGATTGATCGACGCCGAGAGCTTTATCGTCTCATCCTTTATGGAGGAACGCGGAAGTACTTCTCATGTAAGCTATCTCCTGGTGAAGGAACAATGGACATTAAAGCAGAATCGAGGAGATACAGTGTGTTGAAGTTGAACGCTAAGTGGCATATCATTATGATGTCAACTGTCCATGATGGGAATCAACTCGTCAAAACTGCAGCCGACTAAATGTTACAATCGGGAGAGTAAAAATTATTAACTGCATGTAGTAATTGCAATCTCACTGTACACAGTTGTTAATCCAATGCTGGTTTTGTAAACTGTACGTATGCATAAACTGTGGAGGACGCGTGTAGCGAAATAACTAGAAGTATCGTGCAACACATAAAGTCGTTGGTTCGATCCCGTGCCTCTGGCAAACCAAAGCTCGTCTCTCCACGAGTTGGCAAATTAGTACAAAGAAGATGAAAATACTGGTTTCATAGATCGCTGATTAAATCACTGGTTCAATTACCCAACTTTGAGGATTTTCCTAACATAATTGTCATCGCCGCACCTCCCTCTGATCCACATCGTGGTGAGGACCTGGATACGCCCTTGCAAGGTTACGTCTGGACTCCAGGAAGGACCAAGTTGCACGACCAGCAATAGGCCAGCCTTAGTACCCCGCACACTGGGTGCTCCCGTCTGTGACGTCAAGCGGTGAGACGACCGGCGAGTGGTTAGAAAATCTCGGGTTACGCAGGACGTCAGTGGAACTGGATCAGGAGAACACACGCACGACACGCCACGGAGATTGCTTCTTACTATGCACTTATAATGCTAGTACACTCTCCACAGACGCCGATCTTCACGCACTTCTAGTAGCCGCAGATCGAATTAAATTTCATGTGATCGCATTACAAGAAACGAAAACCAAGAAGACCGACATACGCCAACTAAACAACAGGACCCTTGTGATCCATGGAGAAAAGGTCCCGTCACGAAATGTCGGTGGCGTAGGCTTTGTCGTGCACCCGTCCATTGTCCATCTCGTCGACTCATACGTGATCTTTCCCCTCGCACTGCAGTTCTCCGTCTTCAACTGTCGCATCATAAGAAAATCACTATCATCAGGTGCTACTCACCGACCGACGCAGCTCATGAGAACCAATTAAATGCGTTCAACTATCAGTTGGAAGAAGTCATCCGCAATGACAAAGCATATCATAAATTTGTTGTTGGAGACTTCAACGCCAGAATAGAAAAGGCCAACGTAAGCGAATACAGGATGGGAAATTTTGGATCAGGAGAAAGAAATGAGAATGGGAACTGTCTCGAAAGACTCCTGTCAACAGCACGTCTCTTCCATGGAACCTCGTTTTTCAAGAAGAAAGAAAGCCGCCGCTGCACATGGGAGACTCCCAACGACATGACTCATGCGGAGATCGACCATATTCTGACAAACAGAAGATGGTGCCTACTTGACACATCGGTAGTCCCGTCATTCTGTACTTGTTTCGATTACCGCCTTCTTCGCGCGAGGATTGAATTCAGCCGCAAACTGGAAAAGAACTCTGTTTATCGACCACGAGGAAGAAGCCTAGCTGTATACGACGAGAACATTCTTAGCGAAGTCCTGTCCAAACGTGACTGGCAGATTAAAGAAGACCCGACCGAAGACTACGAGCTGCTTGTCGAAGGACTGAAAAGTTGTGTCGAGTTCGCTTCAGTTCTTCAAGCAAGAAGATCGAATCGCATCTGTATCACTACTAAGGAGTTGCTCGAAAAGAGAAGGAAATTGAAGCTCGATCCTAGTGCAACACGTCTAACATGGAATAAACGCCAACTGCAGAAGAGCTTTGTAGGAAGATGTAGAACGGTATAAGCACAAGAAACCACCGGAAGTAGCAGGGAAAAGAAGCTGTCTGAAAAAATGCCGTCGGGACTTGTATGACTATAATGTTTCGCTGTCAGCCCTGATGAACGAAGATGGGATCGTAAAATCTTCCAGCCATGATACTGAATTAATAGCGGAAACGTTCTACACCAACCTTTTCCGTTCTACAATCCCCGTCCCGGGTCCTAATATCCCCGCTGGAGAAAAGCCACCTAGAATTCTTCCATCGGAGGTTCGAGTTGCGATAGAAAGTATGAAAAGAGGCACAGCTCAAGGACCCGATAATATCACTGCCGATTTCCTTAGAACTGGAGGCCACAATTTAGATGGACTTCTCGCAGAGCATATGACAGGCTACCTTCAAAAGGAGAGAATCCCAGACCAGTGGAGGACGTCGCGCACGGTCATCCTGCCCAAGAAAGGAGACCGAAGGGATCTTCGTAACCATCGTCCCATATGCTTATTAAGTGATCTCTACAAGCTCTTCACGAAGATTATCCTCTCGCGCATATCAAGAACGTTGTATGACGCGCAAGCAGTCGATCAAGCATTATTTCGAAAAGGATTTTGCTGAATGGACCACATCCAAACCGTGTCCAGGATCATCGAAGTTTGTCGGGAATACCACTTGCCTCTACTCCTAACCTTTGTCGACTATGAGAAAGCGTTTGATAGTGTCGAAACGAATGCAATCCTATCAGCGCTCGTCGACCAAGGAGTGGAGCCGTCCTACATAAGGACTCTGTCCGAATGTTATCGGAACTCCACTACGAAAATGCAGCTTTTCCATCGACCTCTTACAGTACCTATAGGAAAAGGTTTCGCCAGGGCGATACAATATCGCCAGAGCTGTTCAGTGCTGCACTGCAGTGGACAACGAAGCTACTCCATTGGGATGAGAAAGGCATACGTATTGATGGAAAATTCCTATCAAACCTTCGTTTTGCCCGACGACATTGTCATCTTCTCAAGAAGTACTAGCGAAGCAGAAGTGATGATCAACGAACTCAACGAAGCGGGGAAAAAGATCGGACTTCGCATAAATCGAAAGAAGACCCAGTTCATGAAAAACCCATGGTGCGAAGGCGAAAAAATTGAATTGGATGGCTCTCTCATTACAGAGACCACCTCGTACGTTTACCTTGGGCGATCAATGAACATGGAAAACAACATGAACGAGGGACTAGATAAAAGCAGGGGAGCAGCTTGCGCTGCATTCGGGCCTCTCAATGAAGCCACCGACCAACTGAACAACCCGAAAATCCGCGCTGATCTTTTTGATTCTACGCTCCCCCCAGCGCTCTGTTATGCTGCAGAGACGTGGGTTGATACTTCAACTACGTCAAGAATACTTCGCACTACTCACAGAGCGCTTGAGCGAGGCCTTCTGAAGTATAACCAGCACTCTCAATATGTAGCCGGGATGGGAAGCGCTGACCTTCGAAATCTGTCACATCTTCGAGATCCAGGAGAATATACATCGGCAGCGAAACATAGATGGGCCGGTCACATAATGAGAAGAGCAGACGACACATGGACGAAAAGAACAGTAGAGTGGACTCCAAGAGAATGCAAACGTCCTCTTGGACGACCACCTACACGTTGGGCGGACGTGTTCGTAAACTAAGTTAATCAGCTGTACCCGCAACTGCAGTTGTTTTGCAAATCACGGTATGAGACTCGCAAGCGCTACCATGCTCGAACAAGACCACCACCATGGACTACGATTGCGAGAGAAAGAAACGAATGGCATATCTGCTGGGGTCCGCACAGCTCGTGAAGACGGACCGTCCAAATATCCAAGTAGGTAAGATAAATCGCTAGGTTCCAAAAGGTTATTATATGGGTTAACTAAGTATTTAACCACCTCTGCGATACTTAGTGAAGGCAAGTGCCGGAACGATTCAGAACCCAGCTGAATGTTGTGTCAGTAAGATCCGATTGCTGCTTACAACGAAAAGTTGTATTGAAGTACATTGATAGATGCATACTTTCTGAACACTGAGCCATAAGTCTGCTCAGTTAATTACCACCTTATAGCGAAAATGATGTACCCAAGTTTGGAACCTCAAGATTTAAACATAGCAGAGAGATCTGTGTACGCACCTAATTTGCAATATTTCCTCATCGCGAGATAGACTTGCTGTTCTACCTTGTAAAAAATCTGTTGTAGATTGGTTGTGAGTGTAGAGAATCAGCTTTTATGCGCAACACCTGGAGCTTAATATTTACTCTATCTTGGATATGCTATGGATTGAATACACAACGTACTAAAGAAGGCTCTATGTGACAAAATAAATCACTGCCAAGAAAACAGCTTGAGATCAACGCATTTCGTCCACTGAGTCCTTCCACCTCTCATGCACTGAACTAAATGCATCTCAGGCGTTATGTGTTAGTGGGATAAAACACCGTAACCGAGGCATGAACACTTCCATATAAACTTGAAAAGGATCTTTAAACCTCGGACTACAATGTAACAATAACCCATGTAGGCCTAGACCCAATCGGATGCCGTAAAGACAGGGAAGTGTGAAAGCTTAAGCTACAGAAATGTGAGGAGTCAGGGAGATTTAACATTAAATCGTAATCAAAACTCAACCTAAGAAACTTGCCGAATGCAAACTGGAATGTACATAAAACGAAAAAGGAAAGAGAGGCACATAGCAATGAAACAGCTCAACATTGAAGAAATGAGGGAGTCGTTGTAAAAAACAATCAACCTAGTTCCGGGATGAAGCTGACAGTAAACACAACAGTTCTGGGATACGTACGAAACAGATGAACTGAGTTGAAGTAACTATGAGTGTTGTAGTTGAGCAAATCATGTCAAACGACCAAGGAACCAACAATAATTCTCATCAATTTGGACGAATACAATGCTACACCCATCAGTAACGAATCTCCATTTAATCATTCTAGTAGTTTGAGTAACTTATGCATATCTATTAATCATCTATTATAGGTCTATATCGTTAACAGTAAATAACACGATGAGCAACTGGGCCGCCTACAAAAACGATCTGAAGATAAACCCTGACGTCAACATAGAACCGGCGCGTCGAACAACCATCGGCCCAAATATGACATATTCACTCCCATTCAGTCGTGCCAGGCGGCTTACTAGTAAGGTCTATCATGACCCGCGAGGTGCCCTTAACATGCGACACAATACGCCGTACCATCTCTTGGATACTCTGAAAAAACAATAGTAGTTCAAAGCTTCACCACACTAAAAGCCTTTTAATACTGCTCCATTGATCAACGGCAAAGAGCCTAATATCTTCCTAGTTTCCTGAGGAGATGAACTTTTACACCTTCTAGTTCCACTGCTCTTTAAAGTTTTAATCTTTTGAGTTATAAGAATGATTGCCTTGAAAATTTTTCAGACCTTTTCAGGAATGTCTCTTCCCGGAAGTGCTGCTAAACCAGTCATGAAATCAGTGGTAATAAACGGTCGTAACACAAAAGACCGTTTATACGAATTTATTTCCGTGGGTGGACGATCGAAGTGAATTGGAATCATAACCACAGGCATCTATAATGTCGTAAACATTTTAACAATAGAAAATTCAACGCAGGGACGGAGAATTAAATACTTGTTGCACTTTTCGGCTCAAATCGTCAAGTTTAGGATCGCGGGTACCGTCCATTCGCCTTCCATGTAGCACTTCAGTAGCCAGATGATCGGCCTGGAACAGCAACAATAAAAAGGAATGTGAATGGAGTGAACCTTAAGCTGACTACTAACCCTACCTCTTGAAGCATTTTAACACTGAATGCGTTAAGGTATGTGGGTGTGATGGTGGTAACTGGATAGTTCACCGGTTCACCAAAAACGTAAACAACTCTGAAGGTAAAAAGAGGATATGAATCTCTATAACAATGGTTAACAATAGTAATAACAATAAATAATAATAATAAATAAAAGGATAGGGCTCTCAGCGTTGATCAATCCCTGAATGATGCGCCCTGCATTCGACTTCATCAAGGATCGTTAGAGCTGATTGCATGCATATCTTGCGTTTACAATGATTCGCCGTGGCCTACCGATGAATCACGTCAGTGCTGCTATCCCCCCAGATAAGTCTGGTAGAATTTACCGACTCTGGAGGGATGGAAGGCCTGGTAAGCCTGGAGCGCGGGATCAATCCCATATCTTGTTTTGCAGGGCGCCGCTAATCACTGCGCTACATGCGCCCTTCTCAATGATAACAAATAATGATAGCAATGACAATTACACTAGTAATAGTAATAAGTAGGAATAATAATAACGGTACAAATTATTTGTAAATAGAACATCCAATGAGGTATCCTGTCTACCTGTTAATATTATGAAGTAGTTTAGGGATAATAGTGGCATAACGAGCAAGTAATTTCCAAGGAATAAAAGTATCCTCAACGGATAAAGCAGCCACATATGAATAAGACCTGTAAAAGAGAACATTTTGGAATGGAGGAGTTGCAATGTGTACGAAAGAATAAGAATTCATAACTCGCCGACTGTCTCCTTGTACACCAACACTCTTAATTGGCAACAGTGTAGCAGTAATTACAAAAGGTTGTGATAAAAATTCTGCGATTTCCCAGTCTTTTAACGCTGCCATAATCTAGAAAAAGGTTTTCGAAGCACGTGGACTTGGAGGTTTCAAAGAATTAGCAGAACCTTCTCTCTATGCTCAGCTTCAACTGGTGTTGCCGGTGGATGTCGAAGGTTAACTAACACATTTAAGCACTGATGTGTTGGTGCAAAATCACTGCACATGTGTGGCTTCTGGAAAAAAAATTCAGGAAATAGTTTTACGTACAAATCATTTATCTTGTGCTGCTAGAAATTTAGAAAGTAACAAAAGTTCACCCGATAAAGAGCTTCTTAATGCTTCTCAAAACAACGAAAGAAGTAATTGCGTTGTATCAATGGCCAACGAAGTAACTCCCACAATTCATAACTTTTATCACGACCATCCCCGTTAAACCAGAGTAAAACTAACCTTAGCACAAATAATTCTTATTGCAAGACCAGGACCAGGAAACGGTTGCCTGTAAACAAGATAGTCAGGAAGCCCAAGTGACCGGCCCAACTCACGCACTTCGTCTTTATGGAAATCCTTCAGTGGTTCAACAACACGGCCCTGAAACAGATAAGCAGACGATTGAATGAATGCTCTGTAATATCGAACTTAGATTGCATCACTTTGTTGGAACACGGCTACAATCTATAATATAATGAGAATTGTCTAGCAAGCCTTCTAAACGCTGGTCGATGCAACTTGTCAGAAATTCTGGCGACTACAAAGCGAGGAAATGATTGATGTCATCTTCAAGACGGGTTTCATCGTCAAAGATCCCTTCAAGTGAATCATGAAAAGTCAGAATTACTGATAGAGAGACGGGAAATTATGACCGCTTTCAAATTTAAACCAAACGATCTCAGCGCACCCTCAATATTGTTAACTGCAATAAAAACTAAGGGAATCTACCAATTCTTTTCAACACGACAAACTAGTTTTACCAAAAACAAAAACTAATTTCCTGGAGTTCATAACATACACTCAAACTCTGTTGGCCAACGCTCATTTTTCGAACAGAAAAACAAACGAAGAATCGTTTTTCGTCCACCATGACAGGATGGTGCTCTTTAAGGAATTGCTTATATTTGCAGCTGGTTCTCTTTAGCCGTAAATTCTTGAAAACACAGTTTTCGTCATCAGTTTTGTAATAGTGTTAATTCCAGACACAGTGTACATTGAAAGGGCACTGTTTAAAAATCGTACATGCGACTAATATCATAGAAAAAAGCTGACGGTAAAGCTGACGTTTCGGCAGTATCGCCTTCTACAAAGCCTGGAAGGGTACATTGATGCGCAATTTATTATGCGTAATTTGCCCTCAAAGCAACGATGGTGACTGCATGTGTTAGGTATGATCTCTTGTAACACTTGTGGGAATGAATATATTGGGAAAACGAGCAGACCATTACGTACCCGTATAAAAGAACATCTATGGCCAACGGAAAACAAGACAAAGCCGCCCAATAGGGACGCGTAGGATACAAAAGCATAGTGGAGACGATTTTGACGTTAAAGTCACTATCCTCGCACAGGATGCCCAAACACAAACGCGCAAATTTCTTGAGGCTTTTCGGATAGATACCAAAAATCCTATAATAAACAGCGGGGAAGGAAAAACGGTGGGTTTTTCAAGAAGCTGTTGATCATGTGATTACCATTCAGACTTCCATCTTTATGTGTGTCACTGAAGTATTTGACGTAGTAAATTGCACATAAATACACTCTTCCAGGCTCTGAAGAAAGTGCCAAAACGTGAGCTCTACCGGAATAAAGAATGAAGTAGCACCACCAACTACCACCAACAAGAATATCGAGAACTATTTCATCAATACCGAGGTTAATGGGAAATCGATCGTGGGAATTACTATCTTACACTAGTGGTTAAAAGAACCATCAACTACGCATAAAAATTGAATTGCACAGAATCGAAACATGAAGACGGATTAAAGTTCATTTCGGAACCTTTGTAGAGAGTGAACAAAACAATGAAGACACTGAGGAAACTTATCTTTCATGTAGGAGAATTTGAAGGAAGTGAATTGAATGATGACAACTTCAGCGACGATAACAGGGAAAGAGCAAGTCTATAAGGAAACATCTGTTCCTAAATACTATGTGGGCAACGAATGGTGCACTATTAGGTTACAGAAAGAAAAAGGTTTACTTAAAAATGGAATATTTTAGCTCCGAGCGAACTTTATCAAATGAGATAAAAACTACTGGAATTTACACTTGTTCTCTGACGAGAAACAAGCTTACTTATACCGAATGCATAAAATTAGGAACTTCTGGAGGCGTTGAGTGCAGCTTCAGCATCAATTTGCTTTTTCGCGTACAAAAAGTTATGGAGATGCTTGAAGATATACTATTTCGTTGGAAAAAGATGTGGTAGGTATGGTGGATAAGGCACGGTGTCCCAAACCAGTTCGTTCAACTTCGGCATTATAACATGTCGTCGTGCGTTATCGCGAAAAAGGTTTGACGCCTTTCTATTGAGCAATGACATACAAGTGCAACCGTTCAAGTTTCTGATGAATTTTTGCAAATTAATTGTGATGGGTGGAACCAGTTATAGACTACCAGACGGTAAGCATAACCTTTTTTGGTGCAATTTCAGCTTTGTTGAGCTCCGCGAAGCTTCGTTGTGCTTCAAATACTAAACCGATTTTAGCTAGTTGTCGTAGAGAATCATTTTTTTTTATTACATATCACAATAAGATCGTGAAACGGGTCGTTTTTGTTGAGCTGAAGAGCCGACAACACCTCGAGACGATGAATTCTTCAAATGCCATTAAATTCGCGTGGCATCTATTTGTTGAGCTTCCTGGACTTTCAAACATTCTTTAGATGCACCAAAACAGTTCACTCGTTTCCTTCTGCGAGTTCTCGAACATATACTTGATTTCACCGAAGCCTTCAAATCATTGCCATCAGTAGCAGGTCGTCCACGACCTTTCTCATTTTCATCGTCGAATGTACCACGGCGGAATTTTTGAAACCAACGCTGCACAATGCGTTCGCTCCATACCCATTAGGGTTTCGAGATGTCTCCGCTGCACCATCTCTGAGTTTGCATTCACAGAGGTTGATTTTTCTTAATTTCTGTTTTGGAATTTGAAATTCTAACCTTTAAATTTGGTCAAAAACACAAATTATAATATAACACAACGATACTTGGATACTTGGACGGGCCATCCTCACTAATTGTGCGAGCCACAGCATAATCCCCATTTTGCAGAGTTTTGCTGGTTTAGTTATTATATTTCCCTCAAATCCCGAAGTCAGCCTAGCCAAAGCCTGCTCCAGGTCGTCACTACCACAAGCAGATGCAGACCTTGTGAATCAGAGGGAGATTTGTCACCATGCCACTGGTTTTTATACCAGTACGGTAGTGGAACCGGGTAATGGTTTACTCTTAGCTAGGTTTCCTATTGGATACACCGAACTCCTCCTCAGCTTTGGAGATCCTGCCGGGGAGATGAATCCTCCGTTGTACATCGCATCCCGACACCCAGGAACACCTCCCAGTCACGATGAGGAGGTAAACCGTTGGGAGGATAACGCTACTATACGATGCGAAAGCGAATAAATTGGTTTTTGCAACGACATGTAATAGTATACTATTCTCGAGAAAAACGTGCTGAGAGAATTACAAGAAAAATGAAACCCCTGTTGATTGTGCTTTTTTCAAATGTTACATTTTATACGACAACCATGACCCATAATGTTGGGTGTCTTTTGTTCAAGTAGTTGCAACAATGGTGGTGAGGGAAGTAAATTTTAGACAGAAAGTGAACGTAAGTGTATATATTAATGTGTAAGCATACGGCTTTTTATGTAAGTGGAAGGTAATGACAATCACCCTTGAGAGTACGTGGTTTTACCAAAGAAACACCAAGTGCAAAGAAATTAGCAAACGCACACTTTCTGAATCCTTAGCTTTGTCACAACCACTAATTTTAGTGACAACGTATAGATATACACTACGATTACATCTACTATTAGTTTCCTCAATGATTTACCATCTTAGCGTTACGAAAATGTGTCTCGAACTTTCGGATTTCACCGTGCTAATGCATCAAACATGTTCGTAGCTTGCGTTAGAAGATTCAATTCACACGAATAAACTAAGAAAGCGTTTTTCTGCCAAGTAGCAAAAGATAAAAAAAGAATAAAACTCTCGGCGTTGGTCAATCCCTAAGAGATGCGCCATGCATTCGGCTTCATTATTTATCGTCGGAGGTGATTGAATGCATATCTCACCTTTACAGTGAGTCGCATTGGTCCGCGCAGAGATGGAGGGTATTATGAGCCTGGAGCGTGGATATTGATCCCATGTGTATTGCAGAGTCCCTCCGACCGCTGCGCTACACGAGCCCCTGTGCGAAGCAATACATACGGAAAATGGAGTTCCTTGACCAACCCTCAGTATGATCTTTGCTAAGAGGAAGCCACTATTTCAGTACATAAAGTAAAGAGAAAACATGAGTTAGGCAAAAAATACTTGGGAAGAAAATGCATGGGAAGAAAATGCACAAACAATGTGAACCAGCTGAAGTACCCCCATGTGTGCACTGTCACCAATTCGTTAAGTAGTTGCGGATTGATTGAAAAAATCAATCTTCTTGCAGCTTTTAAAAAACATTCCTGAGCAATGAAAACTTTCTACAACTCTTCGAATCTAAATCCTCTAAAGATGCCGAAGATACGGCTTATGTAAGTACAACTTTATGAGAAGAATGTCAGGCAAAAATACAATTCATAGAAAAAATAAAAGAAAGACAAAAGTACTTACTAATGCTCGCAATTCCCTGACGAGAGCTGTGTCGTTGTGATGAGTTTTGATAGTATCAGCATGTTTACTAGCAAGTTCACTAGCGCTTTCAATCAAATCTGGTCTCAACGTCCCTTGAGCAAGGAAATAATCGTCTTTATTTAGTTTCAACTGAAAAATAAACCATAAACTCACAAACAGAACAATACAGTAATTATCTAAAAATAATTCGATGCTTTTCTTCAATAAGCAGAAACGAGGTTGTTATTATAGGATTTATTAGGAAACAATAGCTGCCGTTTCGGCGGTTCCGCCTTCCTCAGAGCCGTTTATTTGTTGTAAGTATTTAAGTTAGTTGATGGATAGCAGCCGCACAGAGTAATACATGGGCGAGGACTCTCATTTTCATTAGTCTCAGATAAACCAGTAAAAGGATAAACGATAAACCTCTCAACGTTGACCAATCCCTGAGGGGTGCGCCATGCATTCGACTTCATTAATTATCGTTGGAGGTGATTGAATGCATATCTGGCCTTTACAATGACTCGCGGTGGCCTACCGATGTATAGAACCAGTGGTACTATGGCGCCATACCTCAGGCTAATCCAATGACCTGACATAGACACAGTTATCGCCCATGTATTACTCTGTGCGGCTGCTATCCATCAACTAACTTAAATACTTACAATAAATAAACGGCTCAAAAGTAGGCGAAACCGCCGAAACGTCAGCCATTGTTTCCTAATAAATCCTATAATAACAACCTCGTGTCTGCTTATTGGAGAAAAACATCGAATCATCAATCAATGCCGAGGTTAAAAGAAAGTCGGTCGCAGGAATGTCTAAAACTACCTCTTCCATGAGATAGTCCTTCACCCGAATAAATGTGTTCCCAATAATTTGGCGCTTCAACTCTGGATCAACTGTTCGATCAAGCGGGTCACCGTCGCCAGTTTTACCAGACAGAGTAGCAACCATGAATTTGATTCCGGCATGTTCTCCTAAATCACAGTCTCACTCAGACGGGCAAAATATCTGTAGACTTAAACAACGATCTTATGTGAATTTCATTTTTAATATGAGAAGCACCTCCAAACGGTTTAACGCTTCATCGTGGCGGAGAGGTGTCTCTGGGTGTCGGAGTGCGATGTACAACGGGTGAATTTATCCTCCTGGCAAGGTCTCCCAAGCAGAGAAGGAGTCCGGCGTTTCCATCAGGAAGTTTAACTAAGAGTAAACCAAAACGAGGATCCACCACTGTCCTGGTATCAAACTAGTTGCATGGTAGCAAATCTCCCTCTGATTCACAAGGCCTGCAACTGCTTGTGATGGTGACGACCAGGGGCAGACTTTGGCTAGGCTAGCCTCGAGACTCCAGTGAAACAAAATGGCTAGGCCAATAAAAGTCCGAAAAATAGAGAATATACTGGAGTCCAAGTAAATATGAGACGCCTTAAGTGGCAAAGAATGAAAAATAAATTAGCGCACTGTGTACAGGAACATCGATCGCCTTCAGACTTTCAATCACATTGTCGCTCTCATCCTTTCTCATGAATCCGTTGTCAATATGAATTGCTGTAATTCTCTCGCTTCCAAGAGCTTTTTTTAATAAGGCAGCACATACTGATGAGTCTACACCGCCGGAAACCAATACCTATAAAGCTTGAAGCTCAAGAGTAAGCAAGGCAAACAATCAAAGGATATTTCCAGCGAGCAAATTTCATTACTCCTAATATTTCAATAGTGCTTAGCAAATGAGGTAAAATTGTCTTAGAGGGAAACTGACACACCAACACTTTCTTGTCTCCGACAGTATTTCTGATTTCATCAATACACATTTGTTCACGGTTACTCATTGTATAAGCTCCCGTGCATCCACATATTCGAAAGAGGAAATTGTCTAAAATTTTCCTTCCGTTCATAGTCAAGTCGACTTCCGGATGGAACTGCACCCCGTACAGTCTTTTTTCAGGACATGCAATACCTAAACGGAAATATAAAATAAGATTTTTGTCCTCAGTGGTTTTCCACAACATCTCGATATTTACTTTCCTCGACCCCGAGCTGCTTGCGAGTTAAGTAAACTTAGAGAAAGATAGTGTTTTAGGAAACCAAAGAATGATGTGACAAGTAATAAGTATTTTCTAAAATGGTTTTCTACAATCTAATCCCATTTATGCGATGAGTTAACAAGTGAGGCAGTGAACAAATCACTGTTACGTTAGTTGCATACGGATTAACAATGAACTAATACAGTGATTCTGTTACACCATTCTCATATGTTTAAACCCGTGATCACAGTCAGGTACTGGCTGCGAAAAGCTTAGGATGATGTGATATGTAACACGTATTTTTTTAAATGGTTCAGCTCTTATACCTCCCAACAGTTTACTGCCTAATCGTGGCTGGGAGGTGTTCCTGGGTTCCTGAATGCCGTGCTATACTATGATGTACACCGGGAGGATTCATCTTTCTGGCAAGGTCCTCCAAACTGAGAAGGAGCCCCGCGTTTCTATCAGGAAGCCTAGCTAAGAGTAAACCAATACCAGGATCCGTCAAAGTCCTGGTAGCAAACAAGTCGCATGGTGGCAAATCTCCCTCAGATCAACATGGGCGGCGAATGTCTGTGGTGGTGACGATCTGGAGCAGGCTTTGACTAGGCTAACCTCGGGACTAGAGGGAACCACAGTAGCTATCCCAGCGAAACTTCGAAGAAATGGGATTTATGCTGGGACCTGCACAACCAGTGAAGACGGGGCATCAAAGTATCTAAGCGAGTATTAGCTCTTATGACTTTGGTACAAAACTCGATCAGTCATCCTGTGTACTTGAGTAAAACCTAGTCATATTTAGTAATATAATCCACTGTTTTAACAATAACCAAATCACTAAATTTTATTCTTTTTCACCCTATAAGTAAGAAACATCCTAAGCTTTTTGAAGCCCAAACCCGTTATATGTTTGATCAAGACCACGAGTCTAAGCATATGACCGTGGTGCATTCAAATTAATATATAAATCAGTGTTATTTAGTACGTACACAGTCAAAAAAGGTGTTACCTGCGACATGTGCACCACTCTTAGCAACAACTTTGAAATTTGGCGCTACTGTTTTTTCCGTGACAGAATCTCCATGAGTTAACAGCACCTAAGGACTAGTTTAGAAGGGAAAAGTAGAAACAAAGACAGAGAAGAAAACAACCTGCTCGTTTTCGTTAAGACCATGGAACATTTCGCAAGAGGTATCCATCCAGATTGAAGATTGTCCATCCTCTCTTATTTGCTCCTTAGAAACATCACCACCATGCCCTTTGTTCATGAGCTAAATATGAGAAATCGAACGGCGAAAACGTAGTGGATCAAATGAAACGAACTTGAAAACCATAACAAATGCCCAATACGGGCAAACCACATGTAAATATGAGGGGGTCGATTTGAGGTGATCCCGGTGCATAGACCGAATTTGGACCGCCTGAGATAATAATACCTCTGAAAATAGCAGTACAAGGATGACATTATTTCTACATTGTGTTCAAAATGCACACTTACTTAAATTTCCCGTTTGCCATTATCTCTCGGGCACTCACATTTAACGGAAACATCTCGGAAAGCACGTTTGCTTCTCGAACGCGACGATCAATCACCTGGAAGGCGAAAGTGGTTTTAGGAATTACACCACCGCCGAACAACATATCGCTATTGTATTGGAACTCACGGCAAAACACGAAAAAAAGTACTTCAAAATAAAATTTTGAAAGAAACAAAAAAGAACATGGCACTTCACACCTTTCCATATTGAGCCCCAAAGTCCAGTACGGCGATCCGCTCGGTGTTAACTTGACTCTCATCCTTTCCATTAATACCCATTTTTTCGAGACGTTGAGCTTGAAGAATATCAGAGTTCAGACGCTTTTGAGGAGGAGGCTGTAAAGTGAGAACTGACACAAAGAGCTGGCTCTACGACTGAGGCTACAACAACTTGTGAAAACGGGAAGAATGATTCTAACTAAACCAGAGCAAAGATTACAATTTGCCTCGAATAAGAATCTCGTTTCCTATTCGTGAAACTACTCACTAAACTGTTGCCAAAAAGGAACCTAGACAGTTTTTCAAGAATGCCTGAGAATATCTGAGAATAAACTGATATTAGAAGACGAAAAAAGAGAAAATAATGGACAGTAAGAGACGAATATCAAACGAAGTGAGGTGATGGCGATGTGTTGATAGCCAGAGAAACAGATGTGATGTAAAACCGATATCGATTTCACTGCGAACCTCGGTTTTATGTAACACCAACAGATCCAAACTGTCAGAAAGGCACTGATGAGATAAAACATACACAAAACAAAACCTGATTTATAGATTGGCCTTAGCGGGTACAGTTATATGGGCGCTGAACTAAACTGAATTGGTGCCTAGTGTTAAAACATCGACTCGCTAGCAGGCCCATGGAACAAACAGAACTGCTATCGATCACGCAGACAAAATGATCGCGCTACATTCCATTGAGATCACTTCGAAACCCAAAAGTCCAAATTTGAAAACATGAAAAGGGTAACTGCGGAACTCTTTGCCACAGCACTTAGAGAAGAGCTGCAGAGATGTGGGATAATGTTGGCCCAGCAGAAAACAAAACACTGCGGAGAAGCGAGAAAACCTTTAAAAGTTTAGGAGTTGCGCAGCGCATTCGTAATGCCGTACAAGACCTCCCCAATCAGAAAACCATGAATACATGGAATCAACACAATCAAAAATAAAGTCTCTATAAAATTGGTATATCAAGAGCAGTGTAACTTCGGTTGACTTCGATCAAGAATAAATTATCTTCAAATATTTCCATCCAAACACAACCACAAGTACAGATTCTAGACACAACGGAAACCACAAGTACAGTAGCAACTACTAACCTACACGATTACCGTCCAAAGTCTATAAGCTAAGCAACTGTGGTTTCCTAAACAAAACATCGAATCTGCTTCAATCGAGCTGAAGGTCACAAGTTATACATAGTTCCTGGAATCCGTACACTTTCCTATCTTCAAGAGGAAGGGAGTCTAGGGCAATGGACGGCTTCGAGCGCTGTTATATTTCCGGAGAAAGGTGAACGAAGAGATCTTGGCAACTGCAACTGAAATCAGTTGTTCAGAGGGCTCTACGAACACTCCACTCCCATTGGGTATAGCAGAAATTCTGGATAATGCTCTGCTGTTTTTCTTTTCAATCCATTTTGAAGCCTGGATGAAGTTCAACCAATCGAGTAATCGGTGGTGCTGTAGGGATTGCGACAATTATAGATGACATCCATACCGCACATAGGATCAATGGAGTCTGTCGGAATCAGCACATCTTTCTTGTCCTAACATCCTTCCACTACGTCGAAAACAATGACGTTTTACCAGCGCTCTGTGACCACAAGGTGGACTCGTCGAATGGAACAAAAACGACGGGATGCAAAAACTCCTGCTGACCACCAGCAACGCAAAACGATGACGGAACTCTTCCATCGCCTCTTTATAATCGGCATAAGAAGGTCACAATTGCCCATCGCTGCCCGAAAAGTGAAGACATTCAATTCACATAGAAGCATGCATACATGGAAAACCACTCAACTTTTGTTTTGCTAACAACATCTTCATACTATCCACCACACCAGAATGGCAGATACGATGGTTGAAAAATTCAAAGATGGAATTAAAAGAAAAACACTATAAGCAAATCAAAAACAAATCTCAGCTCATGAAAGAAAATGGAAAAAAAGCGTGGTAGATGTACCTTTGGCTATTTAAACACTTTATGCGTACCCAAGGTATTCAATGGAAATATGAAACAGAGTTGTACAGAAAATCACGGATAACATGCGCCATGTTTAGCCTTCTTATGAAGCAAATGATCTATTATCGAGCCTAGGTGCTCGACTCTGCAGTCCTACTAACACAACGCACCTGCAATTTGGACTCAAAATCATGGACAAAATAAATCTCTGTATGAACGACTAACATAAATGAACAAAACGATTTGGAAAAATGTACCGCTGCCCACAAGTTTGTGAAAACGGGCGGGAAATCCACGTATAAGTTCAGGTCTACTTGCTAACCTGGATACTTGGATGACCCGTCTTCAACGGGCGTGTGTGCCCTAGCATAGTTTCCATTTTTTCGAAGTTTTGCTTGTTTAACCGGTGCAGCTCCCTGGAGTCCCGAGGTAAGCAAGGCCAAAGTCTGCCCCAGGTCGTCGCCACCAAAGGTAATCGTAGACCTTGTGAATCTGAGGAAGATGTGTCACCATGGCACTTGTTTTATACCAGTATGGTGGTCGATCCTGGTATTGGTTTACTCTTAGGTAGTCTTCCTGATGGAGAAGCCGGATACCTTCTTAGCTTGGGAGAACCTGTCGGGGGATAAATCCCCCGTTGTACATCACGGTCTGACACCCTGGAACACGTCCGAGTCCCGATGAGGCGGTAAAGCGTTGGGAGGAAGCCGAAGTAAAGGAAAGGTGAAGAACAGGAAAAAGAATAATAAGTCAATCAAGTAGTCCAGCAAAGCTTCAGCACAATTTGTTGCAGATCTCATGAAAATAGACAATTAAGACTGCAGAGCTCTAACAAATAAAGCGGTATCTGTTAGAATCGAAACATAATATCACCCTAAGGCACATAATTTTGCACTCAACAACGACTAATTTGTCAATAAATACTAGTATCGGAAGGGTAAAATAAACGAAAAGATAAACCTGTGTTTGTCCGTTAGTGCCGTTTTTAATTGGAACGCATTCTTCTCCGTTCTCGGAAGAACTCGCTCTCTTCATATCACTCAATCGACTAACGGCAGCTACTCTGGTGCTTCGCTTAACATCAGTCCATAATCGAGAGACATTTAACATTGAAATCAGATGAGTAAAATTTCCAGCCTATAAGAACATTTCGTCCTCACATGTTTCTCCGATTTCAGAGAGTTATATCTACTTGTTTGCCCTCCAATTTTGATGTCCGTAAATATCCCGCTAGAACACAATTACAACTCAGTACCTGGAAAGCTAAATGTAACGCGATTAAACGCTCATACGATAGAACGGCTGGACAACAAAGCAACAGAAAAAAGGAACAAGAGGAAGGTTAGCAAGAGGTAAACATCAAGCTATCACTAGAGCTACGTAAACATCCCCACGTGAGGAAAGAGAAACTTAAAGTGGCGAATGTCACCTTCCAAACCTCATACCCAGGTTCTCGAAGTCTCAAAACGCAGAATGAAGAACCCATCAGCCATTGAGAAAACTACTAGAACACATGAATTTTACAGCTCACAGGTAAAGTAGTTGCAGTTGCTGGACAGGTTTTCACTTCTGCTCTTCTTAAAGGAATTTTGTACAAGATTTCGGATACCAGCAAAACATTATAGTTCCCGAATCTCAACATTGGTAGCCACACAGAGGAAATCAGCAAATTTACGTTTGCCTTTAAGGCCTACGCGATGAAGTTGGTTTTTGGACAACTGAAGATGATTCCTCAATAAAAAAAAGTCTTTTAGAAGTTCAGAATTTTATTGATTTACAGGAGATATTTGCCCGTCGCACTGGTTATACAGTTTTTCTTTTATGTCCTTTAAACTCGATATGTTTAGAAATAGGGTTTTCAAAAAGGAGAAAAAATTATGAAACACAAGCCATTCAGATTCTCTTGACGACTGACATCTGTAGGCGCTATAAGGCTTTTGAACGAGTGGCCGGTAAGACACCAGAAACTCTCGTTTTCATTCTGGTGGTCTATTTTAACATTTAGGACTGTTTCACTATAGTTTTCTCTATCAACTAATGAGCTAGAGAGCACAGATGTTCAGTTGGGCGTTGGCGAGAAAAAGCTTCAGTCTGCACTTAGAAATATTCAAAAAACCGCTTTCCGAACGGGTTCACTGGCCAGAGATTTGGTGCTGAACAACTATTATTTCAATCCCAGTTCCTACAGCGAATGATATCATATGGAGTGTGTGGGTATAAAAAATATTGAAATAGAAACCTATAAGTTGCAAAACACCACCAAATGAGTCCTAAAGTAATGTGTTTGGACGAAGGACCATAGTGACATGCAGTAAACAGCACCACAAATATTATTCAGACCCATAGCATGATAGAGTAAAGACTTTTCTACAAACCATTCACGTTCACAACCCAAGAACTCTTCTAACTACCGGAAAATTACTATTTACTTTCAAAAACCAGCAAGCCCATAAAGGCTGAAAATTAGATGTCGTCCAGTCCAGAATACACCCCAGACCAGACGTCGTCACGAAAGTGTCGAAGTTTCCAAGGGAACAGCGACCCCATCGTGTCATGTCGGACCAGAACCCACTTGTTCATCGGCCCCGTGTTTGAAAGACTTGAAGGAATAGAGTGAAAGAGATACATGTCCCATGATTCAGGAAACCAAAATTTCATCATGGTAAAACCAGAGTACTACTATCCTGTAGACGAAGAATTTAGATTCTAATATTTTTTAGGACACGCAGTCGAAGCCACTATGAGCTGCAATATGTTGATTTAGACTTGGAAGCGGTCATTGTTCTCGCATCACATTACGCCTACAGGGTGCACCGTCAGAGCGTACGAGTTAAAAGCCTCATGGATTGTAACTGAGAACTCTATCAAGAATGATATGATACCAAAGAAACGAAAGAATGTATCAAATGAAACCCTGTGGGAAGGAACCTGGGTTAACTCAGCTTCTGTAGAGGTAGTATTCTTAGTAGTAGAACATCCAGCAAACAACATACCTTGTTTGGTCACTTCAGTTAGGTGCAAAGGATAGCTTATACGAGGCCTGCAGAAAGACTAAATGATTATTGTCGTTAAGATATAGGCACTATAGGACATCAAGCTCCAACGTGACAACCCAAATGGGTCAACAGAAACTCCTACATACCCATAACGAGACACTTCTACGCCGGAGTTTTAAAAAATGATCAACATTACATTGAAAAGCACGTGGAGCAATGCCTGATGATTACCTGCTATCTATAGGTCAACGCGCCGGTACCATATAAACTCCCCCGACCTTTTATATAACAAGGATAAAGCTCCCGGTCTTAATCAATCCCTGAGTGATGCGCCATGCATTCGACTTCATTGAGCATCGTTTGCAGGTGATTGAGTGCACATCTGGCCTTTACTCGCGGTGGCCTATCGAAGTATCGAGCCTGTGCTGCTCCTCTCCCAGAGAAGTCTGGTACCAATTTCCCTACACCGGAGGAATGAAAGGCTTGGTGAGCCACGGGTGCAGAGATCGATCCCATTTGTGTGCCACAGGGTGCCTCCGACCACCGCGCCACCCATGTCCATCACTTTCAATATCTCAAAAATGTACTTTTGAAATCACAGCATCCACAACGAGTCTGGTATAAATGGTTTGATTGAAGAGACGGGAGGTTTAGTGGTTGAGTATGCTTCAACAGAAGGGGCGGTCATCGCACATCACTGAGATAGATGTTCTTCAAAAATAGTTCACCGTAAAACCAGAAAGTACAGCTTGAACATCGTCCTCGATGTGCTGCCTTTTCCATTCTTACAAATTTAGTGGATTGTCAATACCATCACTGTTCGACGATATATCGTTTCACCGGAAGATCCTCTATTCAACAAGAATACTCAACCGATGAAGATGGAGCTGTTGGGATGCGAATGTCCGCTAAATACTATAACAGTTTTGAATTTACACGACTTCCCAAAAACAGAAATAACGGACATTTGAGAACTTTACCACTTAATTGATATACTGGTCCTTACTATTTGTTTGCGCGAACGAACTAAGTAGGTTGGTTGGTTCTAGGGAAAGCATCAATAGCCAAGTTAGTACTGTAGCAGCTTGAGTCACAATGGCCAATTTTAACGGTAACCTTAAAAAGCTACGACTCGGCTCAAGCACAAACTTACTAACCAAGGTAAGAGCAAATGGAATGCAAACGCCATAGCCAACAGGATACAATCTATGTTTCAGCTGCTAAAACTCTGTACTCGTAGAAGTAACAAGTTCTTTGGAGGTACTATCAGCAATGGCTTGGCTGTTGACGATCTTCCTAGGCGCCAGTCGCAGCTTGTCGGCCAGAGACACAAGTGTTATGGATAAGGCATAGTTTGCTAACCGAATGCGTTCAACTTCTGCAGTGTTACTATTTATTTACTGTCAATTCTTTTTCATAGCAGGATATGTTGTGAAATACAAGAGGAAAGAAAGAGAAAGGCGAAACCAAAGACCTGCATGGTATGGGGATAAAAGCGTTAGCCCCGGAAAGAGCAGCAGCGAGTTGGACCCCATCGCAGTCACCTGGGGTTCGTAGTTTTCCAAATTTCTGCAGTGTTAGCTGTGAAACGTCTGCTAGAGCGCTGTTATGAAATACGCTTCTAGTTTTTCCGTTGGTTAACTTAGGATACATGTTCTCATGTCGTTGAGATTCGAGGTACTCTATTGAATGACTTCCTTACCGATAACACAACATTTCAAAACCGACTTCCCTTTAACTTCAGTATGATAAATCAACATGCGTTTAAAATGTTGAGCTTACACGAAGCTGATAAACAAGCTTTATTCGCCTAACGTTCTGACGTCTGTCTTTCTCAGAGCCGATGATCCGAGTCAATGGCCCACAGTTGTTCATCTTCTCGATGTGGTGTCGTCTACGTCTTGGTATCGGGTCCGATCTTCTTCAGTGAAACATCTTTCAAATGAGGCATACCTATACAGGACCGCTAAGTCTTTCAACGCTGATTCGGTTTCGGAACGTGCCTAGGAGCTCCATCTTGGGATAGGCACTGTACTGGACGTCACTAGTTATCATCCAGGACCCAGTTTCCATCGTATAAAACAATGTGGTTGAGAGAGGCCTGGTTTCCGTTGTGTTAAAGGAATACGGAACAAACTTCATAACAACAATCTCGCTGGAATTCGTTAAATCCTTTCACCCGTTTATCGATTATTTGAGCCTTTCTAATTCCGTTAAAATAACGACCAACTGTCGATTCCCAAAGGATAAGTTGTAACGACTCGAGTAGTTTTTAGAGGCTCAGTCACGACAAAGCAAAACGTTGCTATTCTCATGCTTTAGAAATATCATTTTAGCCAACCTAAAATCATTTTAAATTAGGTTTCGGGAGAACTAAACGACAAGTAAATGTGGAAAAAAAAACAAGCTTTAGAACGGTGTAAAGCAATAACGTGAGTAACCATTTGTAAAGAAATCTGCCTGGCAATCCCTTAACAATAGTGTGGGTAGTTCTGTGTAACTTAATCCAATAGTTATCGAGCACCAGCTTCCAGCTTTTCCACTTTAGTGGGCTTGGGAAGGTCTCCAATTGACCTCGAGCTTCACCAAGCCCACACAACAGTTCAAGAGCTAGGACGGCAGTACGGACTAGTGTGTACTGCGACGAAGTGATGGGAGGCACAAATCACTTCTGCCTTCCTAACAGACCAATAACGTACTCTGAACGATGATAGACAGACGCTGTGCTAGTGGAAGTCGTTTAATTCAGATGAATTCGTCGAAAAACAACCAATGAAAACCGAAACATCACACGGACATGACTTCGGGACAGTTTGGCGCCAAATGGATGCTATATCATCTACTATGAGAGACACCTTGAAAGCAGTAATTCCAATAAGAGGTCTCGTCACCCGAACGCCCTACACACCATGGATTAGATCATCCTCAGTGTGAACTTCTCGTCGTGAAATACCCGTATGAAGTGGGAACAGCTATAAATGTCAATGGAAAGAAACACATGATAAAGTCGACGAGGTCACTCCAAGAGCTCAGCAGATACCGAATAAGTCTACGGCGCTGCTCATCTGCTTCTGAATGTCTGGATGGGCTCGAACATGAATCAACCTGAATATGTCGGTCACGACAACCTGGACAATAAAGCTGCATCCAGAAAACCCCCTGTGCACAAATACTGCCCTTAAGAGCTACACAACAGAATCGTACCTCCTCACAGGGCACCACTACTACAGTATTTTCTGAATTCCGAATGCAGCACGGAGTAACGAGACATCTTATTTAATCGCAAGCCAAGAAGTGACGCCTACGGGGTTGCGTGGTCAACTCCGAAAATACTGGGAAAAACCTTCACGTGTGAGTACAAAAAACATTCAGCTCGAACTGTGAATAGGCTTTTGCCGGATTGTCAGTGTCACAGGACACTGTGCGATCCAGAATCTATTAATCAGACGTAGAAAGTGAAAACGCCGATGGAAGGACTTTAAAAAATCCGACAGTGGACACTGTAGGCGACTAATGTCGGGTCCCACCACGAACCCTTGCTGGCAAATTGCCAACCTGGTTATCGATTCCTGCGCTGCAAATTGTAATGGACCTAAAACGATATCGCCCGAATCCTCTGTTCCAGTATTCAAATTCTCCGGGTTCTTTGACTGTCGTTAACTTGACCAGTGGCTTACGTTGTTGGGACCTTCTATGGACCTCGGCCTTGATAAATAATTCTTTCTTTTTTTTGATGGAAACGGAAAAGGTTGTTATTAGACAGTATTATCACTGAGTATTCAGTGGAAGTTTCACAGAAAACTGCTCTGAGGGAGACGAATTCCACTGAAACGTCAGCTGCTGTGAACAAGTACTATGTAGTAACAACCTCGTGTGTACTTCTCGTTTAGAAAGTGACAAGCCACGCTATCGTTGTTTCTCGATTGCCATTTGTACTGTTTTCTCTGCTTTCAGAAGCGTTTCCTTGCAGTTAAAGGGATACGTGTCCCTTCTTTTTCAGAACAACTGTTTTATCGTCTGTTACGAGAAGAAATTCCAACAAGAGAAATGGTAAGTCAAGTTTTTTCTTAGAGTAATTTTCCTCCGGTACTCAGTTCAAATCCAGAGGTTTTTAGAGCGAGCAGCAGTTGGACTGTGCATTGGATTTGATGAGGCGCTTGCCTCCACAGCAATGCGAGAAGAATCTGATTGACCTTATTGATATTGTTCCTAGCCTGTGTGATGACCTACTGGGTGAGATTCAGGATCAGCATGCATTTCACCCTTTTTTGTTGATTGTTTTCCAAAATCATAAGATATCGTGTGCTCTCAACGTTTTACCGCCTGATCGTGGGTGGGTATTCTTAGGTATCGCACTGCGATGTGCAGTGGGAGGATTCGTTCCCTCGGCAGTCTCCCGAGCTGAGAAGGAGTCCAGCGTTTCTATCAAGAAGCCTAGCTAAGAGTAAACCAAAACCAGGATCCACGACCATACTGGTATCAGAGTCGCATGGTGGCATATCTCCCTCTGATACACAAGGGCTGCGACTGCTTGTGGTGGTGAAGACCTGAAGCGGACTTTGACCAGGCTGGCCTCAGGATTCCAGAGAACCACAACGGCTTAAACAGCAAATCCCCGAAAGATAGTGATTATGCTGGAGCCCTCACAACTAGTGAGGGCGGGCCGTTCAAGTATCAAGTACCAAGTATAATGTTTGATTAAACTCTGATGGCTCCTAAATTTTCGTGGTATTCTGTAAGGGTGCCGAAAATTTATTTCTGTTGAAATGACTTTCATATGATAGCTTGGTGATAACGTTCAGCTCCGTTCAGGACCATTCCCACAGTTTCGTCGAAAATAGTCGTTTAGGCACTGTAGATCAACCGCTGAAAGTGGCTAAAGACAAGGAGACTGGGAAAGAATATCTGCTTTGCGATTATAGCAGAGATGGAGATAGCTATCGGTAAGTTAAGATCTCGTTGTGTCTCGAAATGTATTATCACTTATGGGACGACATGACTTCTGTAGAAGTCGTACAGTAGAAAAGTAACGGCTGCCTTTCGATTGCGAAGCATCGTATTCCAGTTTGTGGTAAACCATATTAGTTGCAACAAAATATTAGCTGACATTCTACATATTTCCGCTTGCAAGATACAGCTGTTTTTTATACAACGAAGTGGAGGATTTCCGGTTACCAAAGAAATTCATTATTCAACTTTTTATTCATCAATGCACGTTATTTCTAACGTTAAATAAATTGAACAAACTGAATCTCGACCGAACACGGTGGTGGTCCCCAATGCATCGCTGGTTTTTGTGATGAAGCCGTTGCGTTGACATTTTTAGAACGTTAGGTTTCCTCTCCTCTTTTTGAAGTTTTAGTTTTGAACAGATTGAAATTGAGTCCTTGGTGAGATTTCTGAGCCTAAGCCGATAGAGCAAAATTTTTCTATAAGTCTGTGAAGTTTTCAGCACCTCCGCTGTGCTATTGATGGGAAATTTTGCGGATTTTCGGGAAACTAGCTTCACGTGAGAGTTAATCGATCGACTTTCTACAAAAGTCATAATTATCGGTATATCTAACTATATGTTCTTACGAACTGCCCTTAGTTGACGAGAGGTTGGTATAGATTCTTGTTGATGTCATTGTTCAACGGCTGATGTTTCGGCGATTTCGCCTTCCTTCGAAGCCATTGAACAACGACAACAACGATAAGAAGATCTATACCAACTTCTCGTCAGCTAAACAAAAGCACTTCATAAGAACATATAAATAGAGACATCGTTTTACGATATATGTTAGTTCTAAATTCTAAAAATTTTAGCATATTTTTCATAGGTGTGTGTGTATGTGGCAGATTATCGATTTTCAACCGCAAATGTACAATACACTGAAATATACTGGGTGCACTAATCCAAGGATTTTTTTTACTTTAGCCGATATTTTTTATATTCTTGGAGGAAACTGGGATAATGAGCGAATGAAGAATGACTTTAGTCTGCGATAAGGAAACGCTTCAGAAAACTGGAGACGAGGTGTTTCTGTGAATAGCTCTTGCATAATGTTTGAGAAGCAATGCGCACCTTCCATGACGTGTGATGCATTCATGGTCATTCGAAATCCTTGAAATATTATGAAGCTTGGGTGTACTGTGTGGGCCCTTGAAATAGTTGATTGGACTAAAAATAATTGAGTCTAGCTTTCCATGTCTCGGGCAGAAAAAGGGTGTGAATTTGTCAAAGTATCGTAAGAAATTTTTATGTGTTCCAATTTAGGAGGGCGCATGTAGCGGTGGTTGGAGGCGCTCTGCAATACACATGGGACCGAGCCCCGGGTCCCAGGCCCACCAAACCTTCCATCCCTCCGGGAGCGGCAGACGGATACCGGGCTTGTCTGAAAGGATAGCTGCACTGTCTCGATACACCAGTAGGCCACCGCGAGTTATTGTAAAGGCCAGATGTGCATTCAGTCACTTCGATTGGTGCGTGATGAAGACAAATGCATGGTGCATCCATCAAGGATTGATCAACGCGATCAACGGAGGATTATTACAGGACATAATTATCCAATTCAGAACGACTTTATGATAGCTAAAGTTGGTGAATGATTTGCATGAACGTAACCTTCCCCACAGTGGCACTTATAAGCTGTTAGGGTTTGCTGTCAGATAAGCCTTACCTCGGTGCCCAACTATTTTGAGCAAACTTCAAGATGGTTGCGTTAGACATTGCATTTGCGAGCTCTAACAAATTTAATCGCAGCTAAGACCTACCAGATTGCTTTTTTCTTCAAATGTTGTACCAACTCATTCCTACAGAGGTGCATATCGCATCATATACTCTATCAAATTTTAGTACTTTCCAGCGTTTTTTTTTACGTGAATGATACTTCTTCCTGGCGAATCCTGAGGACCACCGCAATTTCCACTGGTTGTGTTTTGTTTCTTCCATCTTTCCGGATGTGTATGGTTGCATCTGTTTTATACTATGTCCCAAAAGTGGTGTCCATTTTTGACATAGTCTGTTAACATGGACCAAAAATAAGTCTTTTGCTTGGTTTTGTCAGGAAACTTCCACAGATTTGCTTGAAGTCTACACCGATAGTTGTTTTTTTCTATCCATTAGCCGTCGGTTCTTAATCACACGATCACTCCATCTTAAGTTTATCGTTGCGCTGAAAACTAAGTCTTGTTTCTGCCACGACCGACTTTCTATTAACCTCGGCATTGATCAAGTAATTTTCTTCGTATTTTTGTTGAGCAAACGCGAGGTGTTATTATTCTTTGTTCACGATTAAGCTGACGTTTCGGCGGATTTCGCCTTCCTCAGAGCCTGGAAATGTCAAGTTGATAACAATCTACTCGGCCAGACGCCTCCATAACCAAACAAACTCTAAACCAAGATTTCAATCACTTTGAACACAGCTTTGCAAACTCACCGCTTCCTATGAGGTTTCCACTAAGTATGTCACGTAAAGACCAACTGCACAGAAATCACATGGAAGTATAATGTGCCCCTCACATCAGAAAAGCAGTTTTATATACTGCCCTATATCACGCGTGATAATGAGGCATTCTTCCATGCGGTTCATTTTCAGATTTCTGGAATTAATCCAGAGTGCCTCGAGAGTTTTTCGCGCCTGTGTTCTTGATTCGCGTTCGAGGATCGTGACACATACTTCGAAGTCGTCCCCGTTATGTCTCTGGGTCCTATGCGTGCCTAGCGGGGTATTTGATCTATTTTTGCCGGCTAGGTGTTCTTTCATGCGGACACAGAGGTGTCTACCCGTTTAGCCAATGTATTCGTCACCACACGTCTTACAGGAGATCAGATAAACTATACCCGAGCTCATGCAATCACCATCTCTACCACTGGGGTAAATTATGCAATTTTGAGTTGCACATAGACGGTCATATAGGCAGTTACGAACTAGCTGGCGCTTAAGATTACTCGGTGGTACTTCAACTACGCTCACCGAATTCTCTAAGCCCGCCCTTCTTAAGCAACGTTTTATAGCTGTACTTATATCATTTGAGATGAAGGGCAGGATAAACGGGACCCTTCTATCGCTAGAGTTGTCGTTTGGAGGTCTACGATTTCCTTTACACCTATTCTGAGCTACAGTTTCGTAGCCATTAGAAATGGCTATTTGCCGTGCCAAGTTCCGGGACTTCTCTCTCTGCTCTCTTCCCGTGCACACGTTGGTTGCCGTTCGAAACATGTTTCTTATAAGCGCCCTTTTCGTGTGAGAGGGGTGAGAGGAGAGGTAATGAACCAAGATGTCTTTACTACTTGGCTTTCGGTACCATTTTGTAATGTAGCCATTTTCTGATAGGTGAATTTGTACGTTCAAAAATGGAAGCCATTTTTCTTTCGGCTTTTCTCGGGTGAACTTGATATACTCTGACTGTGCGTTTAACAATTCGAAGCATTTGTCCATTTCGTCTTGTGTTGAGCAAAGGACAAAGCAGTCGTCTACATACCTACAGTAGAGTAGCGGCCCGAGATCAGTCACCGGTGCTTCCACCTTAGACAAATGCAATGGCAAGGCTTGGAGCCAGTCGTTGTCCCATTGCCAACCCTCTTATTTGAGCGTAGTACTTTCCAGACCATCTGAAGATTGAGCAGCTCAAGCATTCTTTTAAGAGTGCCATCAGGTGCTCTATCCTGAAGCCATACATGTTTATTTCTCCTTCGTGTTGTGTAAGGTGTTCGAATATGGCTTGCATTGCGGAGCCATTCGACACGTTTGTATAAAGGGCGGTAACGGCGAAGGATTCCATCACGCACGCGCTGTTGGGCTGCGCAGTACGTAGACTATCCAGAAACATCTGGGTATTCGTAAGATGGGCTGGAATGTGTTTCAACAACTGGTTAAATATTAGGGTTAAAAACCATTAAAACTAAGTCTTGTTTCCTCAAAATAGCCTTTGCTTCCTTTTATATTAATAATGTTCGTCGTCTCTTACTTCAGGAAATAAAATGGGAAATCGCAGGGACGGTTAAAAGTTTTGTCCTCTGATTATCATTAGGTTGTAGAGTATCCCATATGGACGTGCAAGAATGGATAATGAATAACTGCATATTTTTCTCTGTTTAGATCTCCATGGACAAATACATACGACCCTCCGATTGAGGATGCACAACTGCCGTCGGAAAAGTTAAGAAAGTTGGAAATCGAAGCAAATGCAGCCTTTGAAAGTTATAGGGACATGTAAGTAGTACGTTGTTTGCTAATCTAGAGTGAAGCGATACAAAACAAAGTAGAGCAGTTAGACATGTTGTGGAAAAGGGAAATTTTTTTTTCATTTATGTTCGATAGTTTTCAATAACGCTAAACCAGGAAAATTAAGTATTCTTTCATTTAGTATAAAGTTAGTCATAATTGTTTAGGTATTTCGAAGGCGGCATATCTTCCGTTTATTTTTGGGATTTGGATCATGGTTTTGCAGGTGTGGTTCTCATCAAAAAGGTACTTCAATAGTAATATTAACAATAAACATAATGTCGTCATTTTTCTTTACTTACTGCTTACTCTTTTTTTTAATGTCAAGATGTTATGTGAAATATAACCATATTGATGCTGAGATATTTGCAAAACTCCGGTCTGCAGGGGGTGGGGACTGAACACCCTGTTACCCTTTCCACTGGCTGACACGTTCACCACCACACCATGCGAGGCCTTCGTTTCACCTTCCTGTGAGACATGTTATTGACCTATAGGTGCGGTCAGCCCGTAATGATTATGTTTCACACAATCCGTGGAGATTTTAACGATAATGTTGTTTAATAGTAGTATTACTATATCTTACATCGTTGGAAATAGTTTGAATGACGTCACACTGTCTTTTCGCTTGCTTCGCTGCATTTAGTTGTGAACGGTTTGTCTTGCTAACAACAAGTTCCTCGCTGTCCTTGGTTAATGTTCACATTCGCCATTCCTGTCGGGAGATGTATTTAACGTTTTCTGACTGTTTCTAATTGCAGGTCACATGAAATGACACCTTTCTTTGGCTTAGGCGTATTCTTCGGTAGCTAAAGTAGTGGAGAATTCGAAAACTCAGTAGACTCCCAAGTCCGACTTTCTATTAACCTCGGCATTGATTGAATAATTCTTTCTACTTCTATTCAGCAAACACGAGGTGTTACCTAATTTCTTTATTTACGTACAAGCTGACGTTTTGGCGGATTTCGCCTTCTTCAGAGCCTGGAATGGTCAAGTTGACTACGATCTACACGGCCAAACGCCTGCATAACTAAACTGAGAAAATGCTGAACTAGAATTTCAACCACATTGAACACAGTATTTGCACACTCACCTCTTTCGATGGGTCTTCCACTAAATATGTTACGTGGAGACCAACCGCTCAGAGTTCACACGGAATCGTATTGTGTCCATCTCATCAAAATAACAGGCTTATGTACTGCCCAATATCATGCGTGTTAATGGGGCATTCCTCCCTGCGGTTCATTTTCGGATTCTTGGAATTAATCCACAATGCCTCTAGAGTTTTGCGCGCTTGTGTTCTCGATTCCTGCGCGTGTCGTAACCCTTACTTCAAAATCTCCGTTATGTTTCTGCGTCCTATGCGTGCCTAATGGAGTATTTGGTTTATGTTTGCCGACTAGGTGTTCTTTTATACGTACAGAGAGTGGTCTACCCGTTTCGCGAACGTATTCGTCCCCGCTCGCTTTACAAGAGATCAGATAGACTGTACCTGGACTCATGCAGTCACCGTCTCTATTACTGGGGCAAATTATGCAATTTTGCGTTGCACATAGACGGTCGCATAGACGGTTACGAACTACCTTAGATTACTCGCTGGTATTTAAAAAAAGTAACACCTCGTGTTTGCTGAACAGAAGTAGAAAGAATTACTCAATAGACTCATAGAGAAGATTTTCTTGTCGGCTTATGGTTATGTATAACTATATGAAATTCTTCTTTCACTTTACTTTTACTTATTACTTCCTAGAACATTTTCAGTGCATTAGTTTAATAATACGGCGAGTGGTAGTTAACGGTACTGATAACCTTTAGATGCCTAATTTGAAGGCCGAGAAAGTCAGTAGGACTGCCAGGATAACACACGAGTCGTGTGGTATATTTGTAAGTTGATGCGGGACCGACGAAACCGACGCCAGAAAAGTGTTGTTGTAGAATACCGCCCACGTGTGAGAGTGGTCCTTCACTCATCAGATGAACTGGTGTTTCTGTTCTTGGTAACTACTGGAAAACTACTTTGAATGCGATCTTACTGCTATGCCGGCAATATTTGATGCTTGATGTTTTTCCCTCAGAAATCACAAACAAACATCACATTTGAACAACTAGTAACATCGCGATGTAGACGTGTACCGGTACTTAGATACATAGACCTATGCTTTCATTTTCGGGCACTAACACTTAGTATAGTGAAGTTGCTTGTTTGTGCGATATTTCCTCCTGCAACGCGGGTCCTCCGTTTTCACGAGTTTTCTTCCGTCATTGACATGTTGAATTCTGGCCAAGCTTGGTTTTTCCTGGAATCCTATAGTGGCTGCTTTAAGACACTCCTATGTCTTCCTCGCACACGTACACTTGTAGGTCGGAAACATTTACTGTGTTGCGAATCAGACTTCCAGGAGAGTACCAGTTGACATATTTCCCTGGATACTTGGATGGCCCGCCTTCACTGATTGTGCGGACCCCAGTATGATCTCCATTTTTTCGAGATTTGTTGGTTTAGCTATTGTCGTTCCCTGAAATCACGAGACCAGCCTGGCTAAAGTCTGCCCCACCACCACAGGCAGTCGCAGCCCTTGTTGATCAGAGAGAGATTTGCCACCACGCGACTAGTTTGGTGCCAGAACGGCGGTGGATCCTGGTATTGGTTTACACTTATCTAGGCTTATCAAGGCTTCCTGATGGAAAAGTTGGACTCCTTCTCAACTTGGGAGACCCTGGCAGGGAGATGAGTCCAACTGCTGTACATCGCAGCGCGACACCCAGGAACACTTCCCAGCCACGATGTGGCGATAAACCGTTGGGAGGAATTGATATAATAAATTAGTAATATTGGTATTTATATATATTTTTTAAATGCATATATGCATATGTATTCTTATGTATGTGTTTTATTTTTATTTATTTTATTTTATTTGACTCTTCATGTCTGCTTTGCGGATACCAGTACTTCTTACATTCGATTCGTTTCTTTGCATCTGTTGTCCACGAAGATCTTCCAACTTTCACATGTGGCTTCGTTTGCTTCTTGAGGATTTTCATTTCATTTTGAATGCCGTAGAATGCTGGTCGAGCAATTCTCCCTGGAGTTCTGAGGTAGCCGGGCTGTAGCGTTCCAAATTGGATTGCAGGGAGTGATTTTTTTCCCAGACAAATCCGGTACTAATTTCCCGACCCCGAAGTGATGAGAGGCTTTGTTAGTCCGGAGTGGAATCGAACTAGTACCATGCTTATAATGACGGACATCGCTACCACTGTGCTATCCGCCCCTTATGTATGTGTATACACCTTATTATTATGTTATATGATGACATGACTAATAACAGTATAAGTATGAAATGAGTATGAGTAATACAGTGTAATAATATAATAATACGATGATGGTGTATTAATACAAAAGTATGGTGCGAACATGTGTAATTATTTTAAAAAATGTGAAAACATAAATAAAAATGAATGTAAATAATATATAACGGTGTATAGTAGTACTTGTAGTCATATAATATAGTGCTGTAATAAATGGTATTATAAAATAATATAGGAAGCATATTGTCATTTTCTATGTGCCATTATTCAAGTGACTGAATTCTGGTCGGGATTTTCTTGATATTCTAAAGCTCTCCGTGCTCGGATTTTGTAGTGATTGTTCTCAGTATTTGTTAGAAAGCTCCATTTAGAATGGTGATGGCTCCAAGGCGATCCAAGGATGTTGGGACTCTATTCATGTTATCGAGATCAACGAAAGAGTGAGTAATCTTGATCTGTTAGGTACTGACTGGTTTTAATTTGAGCAACCATGAACTTGCAGTCCTCACGCCAAGTGCATTACAAGTTAACAAGTACGGTAATGCTGTGGCTGCAAACAAACAAACCAGGCAGTGGTATGATGAATCTGGGCGGATCGCTCACCAGGCAGGTGTGTTTTATAATCTATCTGTAAGTGTAATACACTGTACAGGAGTGGGACAAGTATTTTTTAGGCTGAGCAAGATGCACCGGTTAATGAGCAAAACACTCATCTTGTAAATATTGGAAGGATGATTGAGGTTTTTATATTTGTTTGCTTTTATACTTTTTAGCCCGTAATATCTTTGATTTCAAAACAAACGTGACCGGAAATATTTGAGCCTTTTGATTTCAAAGAAACTTGTGTCAGCTTGTAGTAAACCTTTTCGGTTGAAATAACAAACATCGGATTCTACGCCCCAACAATGTCCTGCCAGGAGAACGTTTACTGAAGCTCACAATAGACCGTTCTTGTCTTTTTCTGCCGGGGCTACATACCAAAGAGCGAACCAACTGAACAAATTGGAATCCGTCAATCACGTTCCGATGATGTTTAGGGTCACCATGGCAGCCCAATTTTGAGAGTTTAAATTTCATTTACGTTCTTTGGAAAATTCAAATTCGAAGATTGGAAAAGTGTGTGAAATGGTAAGAATTGGAGTGGGAACAGTTCACTCCTTGCAGTCCAAGTGGGGACTCTATAGCCCAGCTGCCCTAGGACTCCATGGAGGATCGACTTGGAAAAATATATAAGTTGAGGCGAAGGAGAGCCAAATTCCTTCTATACATATTTCAAGTTCTCAACGTTATAAGTGTTGTGGTAATTGGAAATCTGCAGTTATCGAGAAACCACTGTTGTCCAATGTGTTAAAATGTTATGGTGGTCCTTCAATATTTCTTCAGTGCTTTTCAACAATTTATACAATTTACACATGAGCTTTTTAGGACCAAGAATCGAAGATGCGGTCAACCATCAATGAAATATACTTTGGGAAAACAAAGAAGGTAAGGTGAAGAGCCAATTTTTATAGAGATACTCAACTACCAAATATGGTTTTTTTGAAGACTGTTAGCATTCTGTTTGACTTATGGCACGTTTACCAGGTGATTGGTGATCTTCGTTCTGTTGATACTTCTCAAGAAAAGGAGAAGCAAGAGGAAATTGTTCGTGAGATTCGTACCGTTGTAGCCGGTCGGAATAGTGCTGCATAGATTTTATTAAAGAGCTACGCTTCATATTCAGTAGTGTTTTCTTTCCGGCTTCATCGAGTCGTACATTGTGTGGCGTTTAAAATATGAATGTAAGCATTATATATTGCTAATTTTAAGAAGTGCCGTTCTTATAAAAATATTGCAGTATCTTCTTTTTTGTGCTTAGATCTCTTGACGACGTATGAAGCTCTTGATTTTGTCACTTTCTTCTTGTGAAAACTGGCAGATGTCGTGTGCCTACTTTATTCTGTCTACACGTTTTTAGCTGTTTAAGAATAGATTTTCATCATTTGCTTGTATTAATATCGCGACAATAAGTCTTTTAAGTATACGGGAGTGCCGAATGAGAATCACGATCGAAATGATAGCGATGGAAGCATAGTAATGCAGTGATCGCGATCACGTTGAAAATTACAATTACATTGCACTTTCAAGAAGCCTTTTAATGATAATCACCCGTATGTTCACAGTTTTCATGCTGAGTTCCTTTACATCCGATGGTTGAGTGCACCTATACGAGCGTGAATCGAGTGAAGTGCATTGCGGATACGGTCGTACGCGGCACCGTCTACTGCGTCCAGGTCGACATTGCTCGAAATAGCGCGGCTGTAAGAAAATGGGAGGTCATTGAGACAGAAAACGTTTTGGAAATATGAGGCCTGAGAACAAAACTCTAAAATTTATGGTAGGTTGCACATAAACGGGATAAAAAGGCTTTTCTGGAGACACCAGTTGTGTTTTGCACGGTTCTAAGTAGGCAGGTCTGGTCTGATTGACTTGGGGAACGAAATGCCCAGAGCTTTACGTTGGCCGTGGAAAGATCTAATTTCAATTACTTCTGAAACAGGAACGTCTGAACAGCAAGGTTTTTTGAGCTACACTGGTTATTTATTTAGAGGAAAAACATACTGAACCTACATCTCAGGAAGGAACAGTTGATGTGATTAACTGATATCAGTTGGAGCTTTTTGTGTTAACAAGCCTTTCTTTGTCTGTTTTGCCATGATTTTGAGTTTTCATTCTGTAGTTTATCGAATATGTTTCTTAAAACTAGAAAAAAATACCCAAGGGCGGTTGTAATGGAAAAGGTGTTGGAGTACATGATAGATGCGTATAGTTGGGCACTAGAGGCGCGGTGACGAACTACAACAACACCAGCACAGAAGTTGAGCAGGTATAACTGCAGGATTGAAGGCACACTCCTAGCTCAAGCACATCGGCTGGTTGTCAGTGATGGTCGCACTATGTCAAAGCAGCTTGGAATGCACATGGTCCCCAACATATGCTGCTTGGGAGAACGACTTATATTCGGTCACCTCATTGTCGGATGGTGCAACAAGTCGATGGGAAGGGCTAAACGGGTGTTTTCGCATTCCCTTATCTCTGGCCGTCTACAATTCCGTTGTGCTCGTGGACTTGAGCTGCTTCATATGCACTCTTACAAGATTTCTAAAGTAGATAGTGTCTGGAATAACTGCTGGATAGCCGACCAGCATATTTTAAAAAATTCTTGGATGTCCTAGAGTGATGTAGCAAATTTTGAACCAGTGATCGAGGGACTGAGAAATTATCAGTAGTTATCCATAAACCAGTACGGTCGTGAACATATTACGAAATCTTGGGCAACCACAACCCGTTTCGTCCAAGAGTTGAGTCCAGCGTCAAATCAGAAGCAGCATTCTATCCTTTGTGATTACGGTGTATATATTATCAATCAAAGTTATGTTGCGAATAATCATAGTCAAAGATGAAAAAGAGAGAGTGAAGACCGACAAGGACGTATTATCTGAGGATTTATTTTGAAGTTTGGGAAGGTTCTACTCCATCTTTTACGTCACAAACGTATCAGTTTGATTTAGCAGACATAACCATACTGTAAAAAATGATAATGTTACGAGGGCTGGGTCCAGCCTGTCTCGTTCAAACTAGATCAGATTTTTCATTTAGACTTACCTATCCGATTCCTCGTTATCGTAGTAAGGAGACTTAATTTTCATGTTGCGTTTTGAGGCCAGAATAGAGCTGCAAATAGCTAGACAGATGAAGATGGCCGGTAGGGCAATGTTTCGCATTTCAATTAGAGGAAAGAAAGACGCAAGTCTCGAATTTTGGTCTCCTTATGTACGATTCACTAACGATCACACATTCGGGTCGTGGGCGGACGTAGTTCAGGGTCAGCTGTGATTCCGATTTCTTAATCTAGAAGGTTGGAGGGTTTTAGTGCAATGTCGATATCTCTAATATTGTCCCATGCATAGCATTGCGATTGAGGTACTTTTGATTTGGGACCGAGTTCCGCACTTTTTGTCCTAAAAATCACTTCAGTACACCGATGTAGTTTTGTTCACGTGACTTTTCAATGATGATATAGCTCTCTCCCCCTCGAAGGAAACAAACGTCACAGACCATTGGTCACGATATCTGTGGGCGGTTTTTCGTGAGAAAAGTTTTGTATTCCACAGAATAAAGAAAAAAGCTTCTCTAACGGGTAAAGTAATCATTTCATTTCCTTCTGGAGTTCCGCTTTGCATAGTCTGACTTGTTAAGCCATCGCAAATAATTGTCAGACATGCTTTCAACCACCTCTACGATGGTTGATGAAGTCAAATGCATGGCGCTTTCTTCAGCGATTGATCAACGTCAAACTCTTTGTACTTTATCCTCTTATATTCGGACTGTACAGATTCGTAATAGTTGGTAAGTTATACAAGCAAATATTTCCAATGCAGAATTTCGACGAGTTGGGTCCATTGGATCATTGCAAGATTATGAGGTAGACGGATGCTTCCTTGCCCTTGCAATTTGTATTGTGATAAAGTGTCTGGTTCTTTTTACCGGCTAGTCTCCACCATCATTGCTGATTGATTGATTTGATTTGTCAATTGTTTCCAAGCATTGCGATAAACTGTGTGAAATTCATCTGTGAAACTTTCTTTTTGTATTCACGTGCATTTCACGAATGAGGGGACCGGTTTTAGTATTTTAATATTTCAAAAATACTTTTTCACATTAAAGGTGAAATGGTCTTGTTTAGCTCTGCAGAGACCTAAACACAGCGCACTCGACCCATAGTTGACTAGCATGATGGGCTTAATACTGGAGGGAACCTTCAGGAATAATTAAGAGGTACATCGAATTAAAAATTTTGTCACCCCTTATAGTAAGTGGGCAGTGAATCTTTAAACTATCGCCTCAGCCTTGATCATTATTTTGAAGATCCGAAACCTCCTGACAACAAGGTATATTTGGCTGTGTGGAAAATAATTCTTGTTGATAGCCTTGGAGATCTTTTGTGCAAAATTTGCCTTTAACACATTTGATATTTGAAGAGTCCATATTAACAAAGATCGTGAAGTTTTCTGTAAATTTTCGCTTGATTGGTATGACGCTGGTTGAGCTGCCCTTTTTCCTTGGAGTCCCTAGAATGTCGTGCCAGGGTGTACTTTGCTCTTTCCGCTGGATAAAAAGAGCTCTCGGCGTTGATCAATCCCTCAGGGATGCGCCATGCATTCGACTCCATCAAATATAGTTGGTGGTGATTGAATGCATATCTGGCCTTTACAATGATTCGCCTTGGCTTACCGATATATCGAACCAGTGCTGCTATCCTCCCAGCAGACAATTCTGGTACCAATTTGCCGATACCGGAGGGATGGAAGGCTTGGGGGACCACGGGCGCCGGGATCGATTCCACGTGTGTTCCGCAGCGGCGCCTCCAACCACTGCACCACACGCGCCACTGATCGCTACATAGTACTGTAAAATATTGAAGAACCCATGTTTATACCGGGGTTAAGCCAAACTGATTCACTAACATTAAGGAAAGTCTTATGTTTAGTGTATTGTTTGCAAATCCTGTTTTGGTCTTGTTTAAAGGACTTCTAAATTTAATGCAGTAGACTTCTAAAATGTAGTTTTCAGTCAAGAAATGGCAGACAGCAGTCCGTTGGTTCGAAACCGAAGACCACAAACGGAATGAGTCTAGTAATGTTCTTGCTTCCTTTCAATTTCAATATGAAAGTGTGAAGATCGCAGCGACGAAAATGATGTATCGGTACATCAAAGACCATAGGTACCGGATAGAGAAAAGCCCAACCAGTTAACAGTTTCTATATATTCATATGTGCACCTTATTTGCTTTGAGACTGAAAAATCATGGTAGGCTAGAACACTGGCTAAACCTTCCAAGAACAAGATTTTTGCAACACACTCTGATACGTGGCTCATAGAAATCTTATTAGACGGGAGTAATTTTATATCATTGAATATAGCACAGAGTGTTCGAAACGCTCAGCTAGTGTTACACTCCGTAGTGGCTTGCAGGTTGTTGGCCGTCTCGGTGTTCGGGACGTACATGCCAAAATGTATTACGCTTGAAGTCTACTACGTAGATAGCGGTTCCATAAGTCAAGTGGATGAAACCGAGACAGGGTGTTTGCAAGGTCCTTGAATCAACCAAAGTTTCCCAACAGTACGAAGTTCCTTGTAGTTCGCACAAATTCAACAGCGATTTGCTTGCAGAAGATCCGTTTGGGAAGAAATCGAGTTTATGCGTCCGTACTGGCACAGTGTATGGTGCGGCGTATAATCGATGGAAAATCGTCCTCTTCCGGCTGTGCGGTCACAGCTTTTGGTGAATTCTGTAGTTTTTACAACCCTTCTCTGTAATGACTTTGCCAGGTTTTATTGTAATAAGCAATTTCATCCGAGGCAGCTTCATCTGGTGAAGAGTTTCTAGTGCATCACATTTGTCCACACTTACACAAAATGTCATCGTTTATTGTCCGGAATCCAATTTTTGCTAGAATCCACAATATAGTGAAGGAACGGATTGCTTTTATTGCACAGAAAGAAAAAAGACCAGTTTATAGCTTTCCTGATCGTTTGATCCCAAACAATTATGTTTAAATTCAAGTTCATTAGCGCGTTTAAGTAGTCATCGCTGATGAGAATATGCCGTCTCCAACGCTTAAACAAAAATCTTAAGGCGAGTTCTGCGT